TCTTTTATTATAGTATTGATATCTGCCCAGTTTTTTTAATACAGAAAAACCCAATTCGAAATAACTTCTTCTCCTTATATTAATGTAGACTTGTATAGCCCACTTCTGATAATTTGTAGAGTCCATGTGGGAGGCATAAAACGTCTTCGTCGGAACAATTATTCCTGAAATGAGATAGCGGCGGTGTCATCCTTACAGTCAAGTGCAGTTGGTTTGGTATGGGTTTACATGTGTAACTTTTTTTTTTCCCCCGCTGCGTATTACTTAAGTATAGTAGACAGATATGAAACTTCGAAAAATCTTCCATGACAAGCTTTCAGCTCTAAGATATATAGCTGTCGCGTGTTATAACGCAATACATGAATGCCTGTCTATGTTAATGGCTTTAAGATATGACCTAAGGCGATAAAATCTTTTTCTTGTCTTCAAAACGTCATCTGATATAAATTAAGAATGAATATTTTAGTTTAATATTCAAATAAGTTTTCTGACGAAATACTTTTAACCTAAGAACTTTACATTGGGCTTTTACTAAAAAATCATTGCTTCTACAATTTTAACCCAAAGGGCCTTCGCCCAGAAGGGCTATTAATTTCGTTTCGGCATTTTGCGTTGAAAGATTTATAAGGCTGTATTAATTTTCAAATTCGTGCGAACAAATATTATCGACCTGTGTACTTAAAAAAAATTAAATAATGAAGAATCTGCATAAATGTATGTTTCTTGCATTATGATAAAACAACGGGATCTAGAACTATCAAACTTTAAATAGGCCCACCAGCGGCCGAGCGGTAAAGTCGCTGAAAACTGGTAGTTCGGCCTGAGGCTCGAATCCCGCGAACGGGCTGGCTGCATGGGCGTTTTCGTGGTTTTACCCGTGTGTAACGTGTATACGAGCCAGTTTCCCTTAGAAAGTCCTCAACGAAGGCATCCCTCCCGTTAGGCAGATAGCCCTAGTGTGCTTTGCCATAATTAAATACGCCAACACCAAACTTTGAATAATGTAATCCTCCACCAGAATATGGGCATCTGGAAGCCCATACTTGGAGTTTGCAATTGTTTTTTATTATAAATTTCATATTTTGTAAAACTTTTACAAATTCTTGATTAGCAAACTCAACGATTTCAAAGCGATCAATGGCAAAACTGTATGGGGGAAAAAAAAAAAAAAATCTTTCTAGCGTGCGGGATTGTGTGTCGAAAATTCTAAAGATATGCTCTTTTTAAATTATTTTGTGATATTTCTGTTGAATTGAGTTTCATAGTTTAAGTGCGAAGAACATGGTATTTAATAAATAGAGGTAACACACAAAACGTTGAAATAAAATCCCCTTTTGAGCATAATATAAAATTTTAAAACTTTCAAATTTTTAAAAAAAAATTTGAAATATCTAAAATACATACAAGCCCTATATAAAATTTATTTCCTTTTTAAATTGAACATAGCAAGCTTCTTTTATTTCATATTTTTCTCATCCGGCAAAAAATGCGAAAGAAAATATTTGCCGAAGCCATACTTTAATTAGTTTTTTAACACAGTAATTGTTTTCGTTAACAGTATGCGTAGACCTCAAGAACAGCAAATTAAATATTATTTTTATCACAGTGTTCATAGGCCTAAAAACGACAATAATTAGCTAATAATATTTTTATAGACTCTAAAAAGGTGTTTTAAAAGTATGAACATTCTCTCTTTAATTAAAAAAAAAAAAAAAAAAAAAAAAAAAAAATGTTTATTCCCTGCTGCCTATAGTGGACATTTTAATTTACTGCAAGCATAAATACTTTTTTTAAATTACAGAATATTTTTGGTACAAAATTCCAAAACATTATTTAGGCATAAATGCTATAACATTTATTCGTAGTTTAAAACTGTAAAACTGGACTAAAAACTGATTTCAGTACTTGACCCAAACAGAGCTTTAATAAAACCGTGTAAAAAAGATTTCAAATTCTAAAAAACTATTTGCTTTTAAATTTCTTTGCTTTGAATTTCTTTTTGAAACAGTCATCTATGAGGTTATGAGACAGACAAGTTAAATTTATATTTCGCACAGTGGCAACACTTGCCAAGTTGCCTCGGCAATTAAGGCATCTATTTATCTATATTTTTCAACTCGCTCCCCAAACACTGCGGAGAACGTTTAACGTTATATACATATATATGATGAGTCCTGTATCACATAGTTTTATGAGATATTTCGTTACATTTCCTCTGAAAATGTGTAAATATCTCAAAAGGCGAGATATGAATTTACTTCATTCTTTCATTATGCAAAGAACTGCGTATAGAAAAGGGGTCTCATTTGGGTTCTTATTTTCCCGAGACTCTGTTATGCTTGTGGTATATTTTACAAGAATACTTGCTAATTCCTCTCGCTTTCAGTTCTTAACATTTGCACTGTGTTTTGAAAGGATGTATTACATATTTTCTCCCTGTTTCAGAAGTGGCAGTATCTAATTATTTGAAATGGTAGCCCTCTATTCATTTTCTTTCACGGTGTGTTCTTTGGAAGTTAGAAATGTTTCATCTAAAAGTCATTATACTGCGTTATAATATTATTGTATGATGTTGTATTATCCACCTGACCTAAAAAAATTAGCCAATTGTCAGAGTATTGCCATTCGGTAAAGTAAAAGATTTTCAGTTTTTGTGTCTCTGAGATGTAATCAACTTATAACTGTTTAGTCAACTAAGATCTTAAAACAATAAACGCACATATAAATAATTTAAATATTTGTTTTGTTTTTCATACAATTGTCTAATTTTAAACCGAGCTGCCGTATATTCCGGCGTAAAACGCGTACTTTTAACACAAAAAATGAAGACTGAAATTTATGGATGCTTGTTACATGCCGGATATAAAAATGATAGATTAAAAATAAGAAAACAAACCAGATTTTTACATGAAACTAAATGCTGTTTATTTAAAAGAATTGATATACTTTATGAACTTAAACCTTTTCATTATCGGATAACATGAAAAATCCGTCTTCTGTTATATCTGCAGGCACATCATCGAATTTTATTTCATCATCACCATCATTGTTACTCCGATCAATAAATAAATCATCATCATCCGTTCAGTCTTTCACAAACACCAAACATTCTTGTTGTAGCCTTGTTGCAATTGCCATTTTCTTTTGAAAATTGAATTATTTTGTACTTGAAACTAGCACTGTGTTTTTTCATTTGGCAGGTTTTAGCTCAATTTATTTAATTATCGCAAAGCACTTGAGGGCTATTTCCCTAAAGGGAGGGATGCCTTAGGTAGGACTTTCTAAGAGAAACCGGTTGGTATACATGTTACACATGGGGAAAACCCCAAGTAAATGCCAATGCAGCAAACTGTCTCGTCGGGAATCGAACCTCAGACTGAACTACCAGTGTTCAGCAACTTTACCCCTCGGCCGCTGGTGGGCGTTTCGCTTGGCAGGGGCCATATTTATTACTAAAAGGAATACTAGATCAAATGTATTTGAAATAAAGCAAATGCAGTTTCTTAAACTCTTCGAAGCTCATTTCAAAATCACGACTTCAAATGGCTAAAAGAGAAAATATCTGACTCTAATTCTGCGAATTCATTCGGGTCGGAAGGGCATTCTTACCCAAAACTCTGTCCCCTTTTCCTTAAAAATCGTAGAATAATATTCTTGAGCACTTTTGCATTGAATACAACCCACCTTCTTTGTAGAATTATATACTTCCTCAAGTCTTTTTTTCTCTCCACACGTATTGTTCCACTTATCGCTTGTCAGTTCAGTATACGTTCGAACCCTTGCGAAAAATCTTTCAGTGAATGACTTCAAAAGATAAGAGCATGGCACATGTATCTTTCAAGTTTCTTCTTAGAGAAGGTTATGCGCAAATATATACCTAAAAATTAATTAGTCTGAAATTATAGGCGCCCGATATACACCAGGTAATCAGTAATATTTGGTAATTGTGCTTAAACATTTGATAATTCTTATGAAAATTTCCAGCCTTATTAACCAAAGATATTCTAACGTCATATATTACGATGCAAAATCATTTGATTTTCTTATTAGGTAAAATACACTACACACTAAAATTTGAGTTTCAATCTGAAAATATTTGATTTAAAAAATTCAAAAGATCCCTTCCCTCTATTTTTACTCTAAAGCACCAGTTTTGTTTTCTAAATTAATATTAGGTTTAATTCTTTAGTTACTAGTTCAACTTGTTTGAACATTTTTTTTCCCAGCTACACCAAGAAATTCAAACCGAAAGTTTTACAGGCGCGTAATTTTTCAAAATTATGAAACAGCTGGTGCCCCGTACAAATTAAAGATATCAATAATTAAAAGCTAATTATTACTTTAGTTATCGCTTTTAAGAACAAATGGCGCCCTTCATAAATCTACGCGTTAATTGCTTTGTCTGGTTCCCCTATGCTTAGAATCGGCCCTTTTATTATACTATTTTATTCAGTATCTCCTATTTCAGACAGCTTGATGATTTCATGTTTTATGTTCGAATATGAACAGGGCGGTATTTCTCGCTCACTGTATGAGATCTAGAAAAGTCCCCCAGTATGACCCTGCAATTACATACACAACATAGCTCATTCATCTTTTCAGATTTCCCCCTAGACTCTCATTTTTCCTTTTCCTAGCTCCTAAGAACTATTTGAAAGGAATAAAAGACTACCTGCAAGCTATTATTCGGAAGAATTTACTACGGAAGCCTTCTTAAAAAGGTATATTCCATCTATAACGAAATTTTCCCTTTTCAAAACTGTAAATTGTACTCTACCCAATATATCAGGTAGCTCAAATCTCTTTAAAATAACAGACATGAACTATTTTAAAGGGAATTATTGAATAAGCTCAAAATATATACAACGAAAATAAATTTCGAACGTAAACGCATGAAGGTTCCCGCGAGCATCATTTAGCTTTCACGATATGGCAACATTTCATTATCGGAGGAAATTGAAAGTACGCGATTTTCCGCCTTTGAGAAGGAAAACGCAAACAGCTGCGTGATCCCGTTAACTGCGAGCGTTCTGCTCAGAAAGAAAGCGGCTTCCATTTGAGGAGGAAGCACATCGAGTAAGCGCGAGTAGTTTAGTAAGCTTCCTGGTATGGGGTTTCCCTGCACATCTGCCACCCTAAGACCATGTGGATGCTGAGTTCCGTTTTTTTCTCGTGTTGTGCTATTGTATTCTCCAACAACGGGTAACCAACAGTGTGATGTGCCGGCAGTTACCAATGGGAGCGGAAACCTGAGAGAGGGATTTTACAAAAAGATGGTGGGTATCGGCTGCGTGCTGAAATTTTGTTTCAAATTTTCTGTTGCTGTGAATTTGCTTCTTAATCCAGTTCATTAATCTTTTCAGCTATTTTTTTTTTTTTTTTTTTTTCCCATTTCTGTAATAAATAATGAAAATTACTGAACGATATTTCAAGTAATTATTGGTATATCATTCATTTATGAATAAACGAACGTTGATTGCCCATGCAAAGTGGCATAATGGTATATTTGTTGAGAACATATTAAATATTTTAATTCCATGCGAGTTCTATAACGAATGAAAGTGAGAGAAAATTTCTGTGAAGTGTCTTTAAAATAAATTATTCTTATCCTGAACATTAAATATAAGTTTATTTTCTAAACCTGCCATCTGTGCTAAAGTGATTTCAAATACAACTATAAAATTCTTCTGAACTTGAAGATAATATATTAATTTCGAGGTTTCATATTTGTATTTTGAAGTGTCAAAGTAAGTAATTATTCTGGAATCTTAACATTTTTTTCATAAGAATTAATATATTAACTATTTTCAGAATTTCATCAAAATTAATATGAAAGAAAAAATTCTGATTCTAATGATGAATGATAAAATTAAAAAAATTACTGTGTTTTTTAAGAGTAAAATATTGAATAATTTATTATTGTTATATTTTTAACTGAATGATAACTATGTATTAAATAAAAATTTGAATTTTATGGAATTGTAGAATGAGGATGAATGGGATGAAATATTGCAACGCTTTAGAGAAGAAGGCTTGGATACTGACCTACCAGACAATCGTAAATTATTATATGTTTGGAGGTGGCTGGTTGATGCGGAAACAAACTGCATATCCCTCAGACATCAATTGGATAAACTTAGCAGGAGGCAGTCTGATGAACTTGAAGTAATTATACATTTTATACATATTTTTCTGTTTCAAATACAAATTTATAAGTTCTAAAGAGATATTTAGATCTACATATTTAGTACTAAAATCAAATTATTGTTTTTATTGTTCTTTCTACTTGATAGTGTTTACATGAGATACTTCTTGCTATCTGACTAGTACTTAAGTAGGAATTAGAATAAATTTGATTTATTTTAAACTATTTGTTATTATTTTGAACATCACATTATGTTTTGCAATTTTTGATACTACCAAATGTAATTTGGTTAAGTCTGTGATGTAGAATTTGTCACTTGAAATCTCCATAGTAAAAGACATAGCATCCTCAAACCTTTCCAATCTATTGAAAATATTTTATTCTTATGTATTTATCATTTAAAAATTATTGAAATACACAATTTAATATAACACACTAAATTTGAATAATATAAATATAAACACACTAAATTTGACTAATAAAAAGGCCAAATGCATTTCAAGGAAATTAAGGAGTTTGCTTTTGCTAATGTGAAACAAATGAATCACCAAATGAAAGCTGCATTTTTATCATAAAATGTATTTTCTTTTCTATTTTTAAAGTTTAAGCTGTATTAAGTAGACTTTTCAAAACATATTTTCTGTGTCTTAAAATTTGAACTGAGATATGTGGGTTATGTTTATTGTTGTGAATAATGATTTTTTATGACATATTAAAAAATGCTATGAAAGCATCTGATAATCAGCTTTTGTATTTTGAAAACAAAAGATATTCTTCATACAAATTTTGAATATTTTGAATTTTTCTTTAATGATGAAAAATGACAAGATAACATTCTTTTTCTCTTAAAATGAATGTTTAATACAAAAAGCAATATTGCTTTGGTTCTAAAATCTGCTTAATCTTTTTAAAAAATGAAGTGCCTATGTATATTGGAAATGTTGTAGGAAATAGAGAATAAAAATAAATAAATATCATAGCTGGTAATAAGTGATCAAGTAAAATACAAAGTAATGAATAAAAATATTAGAAAATTAGGTACTCTTCTGTTATTGCTCAGGATTCAGGAATATATAAATGTGTCTGTGTGCATATATATGTGTGTGTATACATGCACACACACACATGCATATGTGTATATATACACATGCAATACATGAACACATCCATCCATATATACATGCATACATATATACATTTCTGAACCTGGCCTCCGATAATAGAAGAGTACCAAAAATTAAGTTAAATTAGTCATAAATATATAAATAATAAGATAATGTAAATATACTGCAAAAATTGCATTAAAAATAATAACCCAAATGAGAGGTGAATTAATGATAGCAAGAAGTTATACCAACAATAAAAGCAAACATTTTTTTTTTTTTCTTTTAATAGTAATTCCTTCTGATTGCACCTTTGTTTTATCTTCTAAACCATTTTAACTTCTTTGTGATCATAAATGATCATGTTTGGAATTGGTTACATGTTCAGAGAAAGTTATTTGTTAAAAGCATAGGCTTGCATGAAGGTTGAAAATATCATTTCTGTCACTCTCTATCAAGATGACTGTAAAATAATCAAACTAGAGAAAGGGAAAATATGGTGAGGAGGAAGAGGAGTATGAAGATGATACGCAGAGCAAGAAAGTTATGTAGAAGGAGGCTGATTAAGACTGAATACAAAGATTGTAATTAAAAATGATTATTAAATAGTTTAAACTTCCAGAATTTTTTTTTTTTATTATTATTTGCTTAAGAAAAATCTAAAGTGGTATATATTTGTAGATTAAATTTATATAGTGTAATACAAAAGCATTTTAGTATCCAGAAAAGTCACTTAAAGTAATGTATCTTTTTTTTATTTTTGATAACAGGAAATCCGGAGCTGCATGGAACAGATGTGTAATTCTTGGGAGGTTAAGGTATCCAAACTGGAAGAAGAAAATAAAAGATTTCAAGAACAGCTGAATTTTAGTAGCCAAAACTCTGGACGAATTGTTAGTCAAGAAATTCGTCAAATGGTCCTCGAGGAAGGACTCTCTGACATAGCTGATCTTGGTGTTATTGAGCAGTTTGCATATCTGCTCGATGAAAGGACTCGATTACGAGCAAAATTAGAGCAGGAAGTTGTTGCTCGTAGGAAATGTGAACAACTTGCTCGTATTTCATCTAATCTTCCAGATTGTTTGAAACTGAGTTCACCTTATATTCAAAGGATATTGGATCGCCAAAAGTAAGAAGTGGTGGAATCTGAATCTATTTTTTTAATGCTATCCTTTTTAGTTGATTTGTTCGGATGTGTTATACAAAATTTGGTACTTATTGGTTATCACAACTACCCTAGAAGTAACCAAATTTTCAGAATGTCCCAAACTCTGACAACCATGCACATACTTATAACAATTCTTCAGTCAGACAAAGTCACTATTTTTATACCTGTTCTTTTTGTCCTATTTCAAGTTCCAGTGGTTTTTATAAATTAACCATGATATTTTTGCCTTAAATTTAGTTTCAAAATATGTGCTTGGGGAATTTGCCAGCAATGGAAAAAAACTTTGGTAAAGTTTCTGCAGAAGTGCAGAATTTTATCACAAAATCTCTACAGGAAGCAACAAAGAGATATGTTTAGTAGATAACCATTGTTGCCGAGGTTTGTGTGATGAATCTCTGCAATTCTCCGTTTTTTTTTAAGCAAAAACGTATCACTGTTTTTGGGAAAAGAAGAATGTTTAGAATGTTTAAAATTGCTGCTTTCAGAAAATGTAACCTTGTTGACCTTGCTTAAATGCTCCATTCGGAAATTTTAGAAATGAGCTTCAGTTATTAATATTGTAGTGATATTTATGTTTTTAAGAATTACTTTTGTTCGTTTATCCCTATTGGGAAAAGGAAATAAAACGAATGCTTGTATTACATTTTAAATGCATATTAAATGTGAATCTTGAAAAATCATGCAATTAATGAAGCTGATAGTATAACTTACATTTGTCATCGTTGCTGGTATTTAAAGTGCTATAATTAAAGTTTTTAGTTGCAGTTATGTGTATAGTCTTAACCTATGTTTTGGGTAATGCTCGTAAATCTTACAAGGGTTTTATTTTAAATCACTAAAGTTGTTGAGAAGGGCATGTGTAAGGGGTATTTTCTTAATTATAATTCTGAAATAATGCTCCCAGTTTTTTTCCTTCACTCATTTTCTTCCATTATATAAATAACCTTAAATGTCTGGTCACATTTTGATATGTGTGTTTGTGTATTTGAATATGTGACTAACTTTTGATTTGGCCTTTTTAGAGGGTTTGAATATTGATAGCTAGTACGCTGCATTCAATCCTTTTTTTTTTTTTTTTTTTTTTTTTTTTTTTTTTGCAGCAACAGCAAAATTAACATAACTTTTTTTTTCTGATAATGTACAGTGTAGAGAAAACCATTATACCATTATACCATTACACATACAGATTTCTGATAGTATGCACCTAATTGTGGTGAACATCACTTTCCGTAATGTACCTGTAGTATTCTCATTAACCATTGATTTGTTCTTGGTTGTGTTCTCCCTTTTTGGAGAACTGCTTGCAAAGATAATTTGGATATTTTGAAACAACGATTGTTATTATTCCGTGTTGTTTTACAAAATTTTGCCCAAGCAAAATATACTGGCAGCCAATTATGCTAGCAAATATCTAAAATTTCCAGTCCAGTGTACAGAAGTTAGTTTCTATTGCATTAAGATATCTTTTTAATTTATTTTAAAAATCATTTTATGCCTTTTATATTTTTCTTAGTATCTTTTTAATTTATTTTAAAAATCATTTTATGCCTTTTATATTTTTCTTAGTTGTAAAATTATAAGGTCCTGTAGTTACTTTTAATATTACAAACAAATTAAAAAGGCAGAAACTTCTACTAGGTGGGTATGTTTTATTGAATATATGTATTTCAACCTCTGAATGATTTTATTCTTTGTCACAATATTTAAATAAACTCAATTCAGGATAATTCTTTAAATTATTTCTAATTTGGTAAGATATTTTTAATCTGCCATTTTTGATGGGAAATTTTATGATCAAGTTTAAAAAAAGTTTCATTATAGTGGCTTGTATTATATCCAATCATGCTGCCAGTGCATTGAAAATTTATATTTTGTATTTAAGACAGCAAATATAAGATCTTTGGATTCTATTCCATAATGTCTTGATTTAAATTGAGAGGAAGAATGGGCAGATAATCTTTGTATACTTTGCTAAATTAAGTAAATAAATGTTGAGGGATTAATCAATAACCTTAGTGAATGCCCTTAGTAGTATTTTATGGTAAATTTCTTTTTATAATTTAATTAAAATGATGTGTGTGAATGAATCTTTAAAATGTCAAAATTAGCTTATTGTAGTTAGAAGAGGCATAGGAAAATTTTTTGGCAATACGTACACATATGCACTTATTTATTTATATTACAGTCTAAAATTTCTTTCATGCTACATATTCCAAAAATTTGATAAAAAATTAAAGTATTCTATATTATTCGTTAGTAACACAAATTACGGATTGGTAGAAAATGCACTGTGATTAAATCTTCATAACCTTTTAGTTTCTCATTTGAGTGAATTTCTTTCGAAATTGTTATTTTCAAGTTGTTCTTTGGAATTTAAATAACATACCATTGTTATTATTAAAGAAAATAAAAATTAATGAATAGTATTTAAGAAATTAGAAAGCATATTTAAGTATTACCTTAAAATTTGTAGAATGTCCTATCATTACATTATATTCGTCCAAGAGTACGATACCTTGAGAAAATTTTTTAGCAGTTCTCTCCTTTATTTTGAAAATCTGTTTCATGTTCTGAATCTGACTCATTTTATGTAGATTTTCAGGTTTCATTCATTATATTATTTTTCTTCCATCTAGAGATGAATATGAGGAAGAAATCAGACATCAGCAGGAAGCAATGAAACATGTGAAAGAACAGCTAAAAAAAGTTCATGAAGATGAACTACAAAGGCTGTCTTCAGAGAATGAACACTTGAATTCAGAGCTTACTAAAATTAGCCAAAAGGTAAAAAGCCAAAAGAAACTATTAGATTGTTTAAAATTAACTAAAACTCAATATTGAATTGACTTTTAGAGTCACATCACAAAAGAAAATCCTATATTACAAAACTTACAATTTTAGCTATTAAAAACATGAAAACGCTTCTTCTTATCCAACTTATTGATTACCTAATATGGAAATAAATATTTTAACAAAAGGCAAAAACAAAATATGAATTATAAAGAAAATATTAAAATGCAAGTAAAGTTCGTACTTAGTCATACATTTCACATGTTTATCATGATTAAAACTTTTAATTAAAATATTGGCTGATGTATTATATATAGATTTACCATTATTTTTAGTTTGTTAAAGATAAATAAGATACTTTTTCGATTATAAAATAAGTTTTTGGTGTAATAGCATTGAATAGTAATTCCCCCTCCCACTTGAAATGATGTGCTGTTTATGACTTAATATTGATCATTCTGTCATAATAGGCATATCTGGTTTATTTGCCATTTCTTTAAATTTGAATTCTTGTAAAATTAATGCAAAAGACTTGTTTTTTTTTTCCTTTCTTTTGATGAAATTTTAGCTTCTGTACTAGCAATTCCTTTTATTTCAACGATGAAAATATTTCATTTTTTAGGTAGAAAAATTTTATATTTAACTCGAATTATTAATCAAGTTTTGGATAAAACTATAATTTGGTTGTTTGTTATTAATCTTGGTTGAATCAAAATTTTGAAATGCTTCTTAATATATTGATTAGTTTTTATATCAATCTAAAAGCACTTGTTTATTTTGTGCATTGATTTTATACTTTGTAGTTACAAGAACTAGTCACACAAACTGCAAGTCAACAAGGGAAAGATACATCTTGCCTTCCTTGGGTGCAGCATATATTGGTAAATAAAACACTTCTACATTATTCCTTTTTAAAATTTAATAATTTCTTAATTTTTAAAGGTTATTTAAATTTTTATTTTTTCTTCTTAAAATGGTGTTGTATGTATTTGATAGGATGGTACACATGATAAAGAAATGAAGGAACTTAAACATGAAGTAGAAGAATTAAAATCCCTGTGCCAAGACCAACAGAAGCAGATACGCGACCAGTGTGAAACCATTCGCATGTTAGAGCGAACAAATAAACAGCTAGAAATTGATAATGAGACACTGGCATTTAAAGTAAGTTTTTTCATCTGTGGTAGTCATTGTTAAAAGATAAAGAATAATGTAAATGATCATTAAACTCCTGCAATCTGTACATTATAAGGAAAAAAAAAAATGAGTTGCTAGTGTAAAGATCATATTATATTTGAATGGTCAAAATATTTAAATATTAACATTTCATCACTGTAATGAATGAAGCAAGCTTTTTTTCCAATTTGAAAATCTATTCTGTATTCTAATAAAAATAGAATAATAAACACGAGCAAAGAAACAAGAATTCTGTAGAATAAAATTAACACTTGAATATATCTACTTTTAAAATAATTTGAATAGTGATTAATGAATGTTGGTATTTAACACCCTTTTGACCAAAACTTTCTCAATATTTTTATATTTGGCACATGGACAAGAGATGGTGGCTAATTACTAATAGGAGTTTTAACTTGAGTATTTCAGTAATTTATTGCATCTTTTGTAAACGTATGAAATTGACAAATTTTTGATAAAATGTTTGTCATAAATAATGCTATTTATGACAAAATAGCACTATTTAGTATATAATTAAGTTATCAAAATATGATGGGAGATATGATGAGATTTGGTAGGGAAAAAAATTGTACTTTATTCTTGAAATAAAGTATGATTCTTCGAAAGAAAAGATTTAACTAATTGCTTCATATCTTTTTTTATTAAATTACTAAAAGTAAAGTATTAGATCAGAACATGGTCCATTGATAAGGAGGAAAGTCGGAAAGCTTTATTAGAGCAAAAGGAATTACTGATGGAAATCAGGGGGGAAAACCTGTAGTAAAAAAGAATTTGATTAGTTTTATTTTTAGCAATACCTGACTGTAACCCTTCATTCTATTTGACATCACATAGTAGTAATTAGATTTTAAAGGAATCTGCTTGGATTATGATGCTGAAAGGTTCAGAAAATTTTAGCGGTATAAATGTTCTCTTAATTATGGACAATTTAAAAAATTATTTTATTAAAGTAATCGAGGAAAATTTAAGCACATTATTTAAACTCAGTGACAAGATTTTGAGATTTTTATGCTTTAAAAAATTAGGTTGCAAAATGTATATAAATTTGTGTCCTTGAATTTTAACTGCAGAAACAAGCTTTCTGTTCTCAAGTTCATAAAAATTTATGTGGTATACATATTAACAGACGTTTAGCAATTCGACCTCTTATTAATTCATTCTTTCTTATTCCATGTAATAATTATAAATGGATTTATCTCTCAATTTGATTATTCAGCTAGATTTTTTTAAAAATCTAAGCAACTTTATTTTTAATCTTGCAGTTACTGTACAGCTCTAAATTAAGCATGAACCATAGTTATTTTATGAACATCTATAGCAGAGTTTCAAATGTTAGTTATGTTAAGAGAGCAGCTATGCTATCTTGTAGTGTTGCATAGGACTGTATATATGTGATTAATATATGATTATGTATGATTTTTATTATGAAGAAATGGAAATATAATATTTTACCGGTTATTCAGAAAAGATACAGGCTTTATTTCCTTACTTAATCTTATTAATATTAGATATTTATTTTTGTTTACAAAGTTTCTAAAAAAAAAGCCAAAAGAATTTATGAAAAGAGCTGTGCACAATAGAAAGTTTTGTAAGTACAAACTTAAAATTTTTTATATGAATTCCATATAGCAGGCATGGCTATCCTTACATGGTTTAGTTAAATTTGATCTTTTTAAATTTTAAATTAAATTTTGATCTTTTTAAATTTTAAATTAAATTTTGATCTTTTTATCAAGGTCAAGAATCAAATTGCATAAAAGATGTTTAGCATGCAAAATACCAGTAAAATATTATTGATTAAAAAATTAAATACAAGCTAAAGCACTATATACTATAAAATAATGAAGTTAATAAAAGATTATTTATTGTAAATAGTGTTATACAAGTAATATGCTTGTCATAGAATTTTAGAAAGACTACTGTTCTTGTTTTTTGATTATGAGAGTCTTACCTTCAGTCCCATGATCCAGATTCAAGGTAATCTGAATCGTCTTGCTTATTTCAATACTATTGGTATACTTTAATGGATAATATACTGTTGTCACAGATATCCAAGTCAAATATTTCTGAATATTTCGGAATCATTTTTAATTTTCTGCCGTGCTTTATTTTGATAGTTGTCAGAGTCTCTTGCACAGTTTGATGAACTGGAAGATCAGCTGAGACGTGAAGCTACTAGAGCAAGAAGTAAGTAAATTGTGTTTCTGTTTTACAAAAGTCTGAATTTAATGTAACTTTGTTTGTATTGTTATACAGATGAATTTGCCTTTAAATGTATTTTAAATTTCATCTCTGTTTATTACTGAATGAGAGGTAAGGTAATATATAATACTATTCAAAACTTAAGAAACAATTTTAAAGTTGAATAATTAAGTACAGAAAATCTTCTTTAAGGTATCTCTGATATCAAAGTCATGAAAAACAACATAATAATAAGTACAAAATGTACAAAGATAACTTTATTCAGAAGTGGTTGGATTTTTGACTGCAGTGGTACAAATGATACGCTGTCTAAGATTAAATAAAGATATCCCCTCAGCGGAGAATATGGTAGGTGGGAATTATCATGCATATTTTGTAGCACATTGATATACTATATAAAGTGGCATGCGAATTGCCATATTCAGGTGGCACGCAATTACGGTGCAGCCATATCAGGTGGTAGAATTTAAAACTTGCAAAATTTTATAGATGCTGTATGGGAGAATTTAGGAACAGTAACAATTGCTGTGGGGAGGGAACTACTATAGGCCTTCACTTCAAATGATATTTTGATAAGCTCTTTTAATAACATTGTTCATTTCTCTATCTACACTATTTACAATTATAAACAGTTGCATAATGAATATGAGCATTTTGCAAGGCATCTGCACAGGTGTCCCACTTGTATTCACTGGAATTAGATTACAGCAGTGGTTCCAGTTTCTTTCTCCTTGAAACTCTTCTAAAATCTGAAAGAAATTGACAGATCCCTTATATAATCATTGTAATAAAAGTAAAATTTGGTAGAACATTTATTTTCCATGTTGCATAATAGTTCATAAGATGAAATGGAAACATAATCCTAAAACAACAGAGCACAAACATTAATAAAAGCTAAATGAAAGCTACAAGAAAATGGTTACAAATTTAGTTCAACAAACCAACTGGCTGTTATGAACCATAGTCACATACAGTCAAAAGTCGTTAATTCGGACACCCATAATCCGGAATGATCTATAATCCGGACCTCAAAGCTAAAAACTTTCTGCGCATGCGCCGCGTTGACACATGCGCATAGGCGTTTACGTGTGCGCGTAATACCTTTACGACTGCGCATATGCATGTGCGCAAGTGCAGAATACGTTTTCGCGTGCGCGTTTAATGTATAATGGACTGTATGAGCTAAAATTATCTATTTCAGTTAATGTTGATGATTGCGTTGTTCCTTAATCTTCGAACTGGATCCGGCTTATTACTTTTTTCAGACTGTAAAAGCAATTTTATAAAAGTAAACTTGAACTTTCGATTATGTCAAATAGAATTTCCGATGCTGGAGCTCCCAAAGGATCTACAAAACGAAAGTATGTTTCGATGTCCATCAAACAAAAAGTGGAATTGCTGCAAAAAATGGATAAAGACATGAAGAAGGTGACAGAGAGGTTAGTGAAAACGAAAAATTTTCGATTGACAAGTTAGTCGGTATTCTCGGCACAGCAATTACGGGACTTGAACAGCGGAACTTTGTAACTGAACAAGAAATTATGTCTGTTTATAGAATTAAAGAGAAAGTATTATCACATAAAATGAAGCAACTTAAACAACTTACATTGAAAGAAATGTTTTAATAAAGTAAAACAAATAAATATTAAGCTTTTTTTTTTTTTTTTTTTTGTAAATTTTGATACCCTTCAGATCATAATTGTTTTTTATTTCATAAATTACAGTTTCATATTTTTAATTTTAGAATTTCTGCATGCCATCTTACGAGATTTAAACTGATGATCTATAATCCGGAATCGCCAAAGTCTCGACAAGTCCGGATTAATGACTTTTGACTGTATTAAATTTGAAAATCTCTTTATGAGATATTTGTGGCTGTCTGATAAACAAAGAAATTCAATGTTTGGCTCAATATCTGACAGTTTCAGTGTGATCTTGTTCTGCATTTAAACTGTTTCTATATTTATCTACACATGGAAAATCCTTTCTTTACACAGATATGTTTTGTAAAAGGGTAATAAAAATTAATGGCTTTTTTTTTTTTAAACAAAACAGTTTATCCATTTGTTAGACTGAGCCAGAAGTCAGTTAAAGAATTATCTTTAAAAATAATTTTTAGAAGAACTGTCACAGGATAACTCAATGAGTTTTTCTTTTTCCAGTTAAGTTAGGGAGGTCGGTAAACTTGCATTTCTTTGAAAAAAACTATGCACCCAGTTTTATGATAATGATATATTGTGCTTATTAGGAATATAGTTATCAAAAGTTAATTGAAGATGTTTCAAATGTTCACATATATTCCTTTCAATGTTTTCATCAATTTAATTGAATTTTATGATAAAAGGCTGCTGAGAGAATCAAAACATTTATATTCATTCATCTACAGACTTGAACATTGTTAACATGGCTTCAGTTCTATCATGCACATTGAAAATGGTGACACCTGCACCTTGTAAAGGCATTTAATTCATTTGATTTATAAAAGATGTCAGCTAAGTATGCAGGCTTTTGCAGCCAAAGAATATCGAATATGCAAGAGGATTAATGAAATAGATGATCAATAAAAATGAACTTCAGAATTCAAATCAAACAGGTATTTTTGCCATAAGAAAGGATTTAACTTCTGTGTGAAGTAGAAAAGAAACATTTTAGCTTCCAAAGCCCTCAAATAGCACATGGAACTGATGACAGTTGTAGCATGTGATTTTATAAAATTATCTTCATCATCACTTAAAGTTGTAGATTACTCTGCAGGAACATGCTTACATGCTAATTCTTGTCTATGAATACTGCAATGAGTCCGTTCAGTTTTCTCATTGATCTTCTTTACCCATACCACAAGAGCAGAAAATTTTTCTGTCGCTGATTTTGCAACATCTGTGCACACACCCACACAAAAAGACCAGTTTATTTCATTTTTTTAAAATCAAAATAACCATTGACCATATTGAAAATTGTTTCTCCAGCTGTATAGGTTTTCAAAGATTTTGCAAATATTATATTGTCTTAAATGGAATCCTTGAAAATATATCTAACATAGACAAGTAGTATAGCAGGCTTTACTGTATAGGTCCACACATCGAGCTGGATTGCAAAGTAATTTAATTTTTTTTCCTCTAAAGTTTGCTGTCCACATCTTATATATATAAGTAAAAATAATTATGAGTAATTTAAAAAGCCAAAAAACTTCAGCTAAAGCTGCTAAGAAATAAATCAATAATTTATTATTACAAAAGGTATTTTTATATCATCTCTAAGGAAAAATTTAATTAAAGGTATGAATTATTAGAAAAAAACTTTAGTAAGTAGTTTAAAGGTGCGTTCAGACGTGGGCGTAAAGCACATAGAATCATGGTCATAAGGACATAAAATACGGGAGACCCGTTCACACCTGCGAAAACGAGGTAGCCATGGCCAATGCTAAATTTGCGCTTGCGGGGAATGTCTACAACTTTCCCGCGCTGTTCTCCCGCTCGATTGATTTCCCGCGTTCGTTCTGCTTGTTTTTTTAGTTGTGTCATGGCTTTTTCAGCTCGCCACAAAGTTTTACTGTCTCAACAGAATGATCTTTTATCTGCCCTTCTCATTAGCCAAGAGGATGAAGGTAAAAAAAGAAAAATAACAAAATGGTCTAGAGATATTTTTTTGAAAGATCAATACTTGGTTGGCACATATCTTTCTGTACAAAGCAGTATGGAATATTTCTGCATTGTACTGTAGTACTCTCTATACTATAAACATGCACATGCATATTTATATACTACATAAAACCTTCTTCAATTTTTATATATAATTTCTCTTAGGAGAAATACGATATTCTAAATATGCCTAATTTAAAAAAAAATCTTGAGGATAACTAACAGATAGCCTGTATATAATATTTTTCTATTTTGCAGGTGTGAAAGCAGTTAAGCTAAAAACAGTACTTATCATACATTATTATTATTATTATTATTATTATTTTCAATCAAATGCTTAGCACTTCTTATTCACTGTCCCTGTCTATCACTATAGTAGTTTGCTGCACTACCAGTATCAATTATCACTAGTACTAGTATCCCACAACTGGTCATAATGACCAGCAAACACAACTAGTACAATACTAGGAAACATTCACCCAACAATGTATTTTATGCTCAATCATTAAATACATTTTGCTGTCTTGCCAGCTATTCGTATACATCTATTTTTAATAATTTGCATGTATAAGCCACACCACTGAATTTAATTTCAAGATATGCTGTCATTTCTATTTACGACCAAATCTCAAAAGTAATTTCACATTGACAAATTTTAGGTACCCAAGGTCTTCAAGTACATCAAAATTATAAACATTTATACCTTATCCAGGAATTTCTACCAGAGAAATAGCATGAATTTAATGATCAACTCCGTTCAAATGATAGTAATAAAGAGTGCATAATAATAACAAATACTATTCATTAAATTATAGTCCATGTTATGAATTATGTGTGCTATTTAGTTTCATTAAAAGTAAATTCCTTTCATGGAGAACGTAATTATAAAACAGAACAGACAAAACTGGACTTTAACAGGAGACAAAACTGTTGACTGCTGTTTTAAGGATATTTCACTACATTTTTTCTTTCTTGGAATTCATAAGAGCATTTTTCTCAAAAGATTAATCTTTTATTACTTATACAAAGCTTACACCATTGAATTGACTATTGTGACTATTCTTAAGTAAGTGAAAATATTTTTTTTTTAAGTAATATTTTTACTGTTAAAAAAACACAGCAAATTCTTGATATTGATTTGATGTTTTCGTAAAATTAATTCATGAAGTTTGTTTGGAAAGAAAATCAGCATTTGAAGCAAATACCAATACAATATTTCCAGCTTTTTTAATAAATTTATTCTTAAATACAAAAATAATTAAAATGGAAAAAAATTACAGTAATAATTTTAAAAAATTATAGACAGAAAGAAAGTAATAATAATAATTTACACAGAAAAAATAAAAAATTTTTGCAAGCATGCTTTTTTTAAAGAATTTTCATAATAAAATGAAAAAAATATTGGAAGGGACCAATCATCTACAGGATCATACACAGCGTGCCATAATCCTGAGCTTAACTTTCGCTTTACGAGTTTCATCCATATTTTTCAATATAAATTGAAAAACTCATTAAAAATGCATTAAAAAATGCATGTCATCATCGTAGATTTCTTGCGAAGATCAACTCTTTATTTCGTTCGGATACGATAACAACTCATTATTTTCTTTGGATACGATAACAACTCATTATTTTGTTCGGATACGATTACAACTCATTCGGATACGATGTGTTCCATATTAAAAAAAAACGTCGCCTTCGATGTGACAGCGAAATCGTCTTAAAGAAAGCCGCTTCGTTTTAGCCTTTGCTCTGATTGGTCGACGCTTATCCCAAACTCGCTGTAAAGTTGAAACCTTGGAACCTTGTGCCACGAGCCCTAAACCAGATTCTGTGACGTAGCAGTGACTGGTTGCCTTGGCAACGGAGCTCGGCTTTAACCACTTATGTCCTTTACGCCCTCGTCTGAACGGGGCCTAAGTAGCTTTCCAAGCCAGTATCCAAAGTTATCTGGAATTTTATTGTAATTAAAAATGATTTAAATCTGTATAGAAAAATCCTTTAAATCTACTATCAATTAACAATATCCAAATTAAGTGAGTGTTTTGTCTGTTTTCAAATAAGATTCAAATTAGTTGTTTTATTAGAGTTAGATTATAAGCTAAGAATAGTGCTCAATTATTAGCTTACTGAAGCCAAAAAGTGTAAGTAAGCTACTTAAGCCAAATTTTTTTATCGTGAGCAAAATCTAAAATAAAAATGGGTAAGAAATTTTTCTTAATTTAAGGTATTCTTTAAGAACTGAATTAGACGAGATCCTTATTTTAGAAAAAATACTCTCCGACACTCTCATTTTTAGCTTAAAATTTCTTTTACACTCAAAATCAAAAGCAAAAACAAAACTTTTTTGTTCCATATTCCTTTGTATCAAAACGTTAATTTCAAAATAAAAAGTAAAATTAATATATTATTTTATATATATGTATAAGATTTTACCCAATGAATAATTAAATGAAAAACGATATAAATAATGTTGAAGGTCATTCTGCAAATATTTCCATCAACAGACGCAAAAAAAAAAGTCATAAAAAATCAAACAAATATTTGAGTACCTATCACAGTTTAAGTAACAAATTTGCTGAGTCATCAGGTTTATCAATGCAGGAGACGTGAAAAATGTGTAATGTCCTCTCCCGGATTCTGACCTCCCAATTATGCGTTGGACTTGCTTCCACTACACCACTAAACTAAGCCGAGAGTAGTCAGCAAATACCTCATAAATTCTTTAAGATAATTTAGTGGTGCAATTAATCAGTTTTAGCTGAATTGATCTCTCTTGAATTTTCTTTCTTACTTTCTATTTATATCTAAAAATTTGCTTATTTTTGAGACATTATTATTTTATTTTTATTCAGAAATGCTGTTTTTGGTCCGCAATTATAACGCTTTTGTTAGTATGGTTGTGAAGAATGTATTTTTGTTAAATGAAGAATGTATTTTTGTTAAATACTGTGCTTATCAAGAATACATTTGTCAGAAAATTAAGCTTAAAAATTTCTTGGGTGTATTATTATACTATCTATATTAATGTCTAGCGGAAGTACCGATGCCAGTTAAGATAGATTGAGAGTAATGTAATGAAAGAAGGATACCATGGTAATCCTTCTCTAATAACGATATAAAAAATAAGATTCAGAGTCATACATTTTTCAGTCTGATGCAATCAGAAATCCACATACAAAATTTCCATAAAAAAATAAATTAGTTCTCTCTCATTATATCAGCAACAACGGCATGCAGTTTTTAATGACTTTCGTCTTTCTAATCAAATGGTCGCAAAAGCTCAATTTCCAACTAATGTTTTACATATATTCGACTTTCGTCAGTTAAATGTGACAAAAAATTGATCATAATGGATCAGAAATCAATAACGCAAACAACACATTTTTCTTTATATATTAGAGATTTCGTTAAAACTTACAAATTTATGATTAACATATTTTTTTGAAATAAAGCATTTTTATCTCCAACGTGCGAGACTGTTGCCACTCTTCACTTGGAAAAATGAGTGCAAAAATAAGTGTTTTCAGCGATTTTAATTAATATCTCAGCTGATTATAAAGTCGTATGAAGATGGGAAGAGTTGAAATGGCTTCCCACGAATTTTTGGAAATAGAATTAATGTATTTAATGTTTGGCAATGTTATTTTTATTTCAGTGTAAAAACTTGGAAATTTTTTTTAACAAACTCTATGATTTGAAAGTGAGCAGTGGCAACAGTTCTTGAAATAAAGCAGACTATTACCACTCAGGAAAATGAGGGCAAAAATTAACATTCGTTGACCTTTCCCAGGACCCAGAAAAGAATTGTGGAAAATTTGGTGATGATAGCTATAGTAGTGTCTGAGTTAATCATGAACAAAAACAAACATGCAAATAGACATTATTCTTTATATATATATATCTATAATTATTCATATGTAAGTATAATGCTGAGGAGTATTAACTCCTTACAAATACTATTTTATACAATATAATTTCCTGTAAGATACAGTTGTTATGTTTTGCATTTTTATGATTATAAATTCTGTTTAGTTTTTATGATAGTAAGTTTTATTGTAAATATTGTTACATTGTAGTACTAAGTTGCAAAAGTGAGATTTGGCATATTGGTGATGTAATGCCCCTTCTTAGTAGAACAAATTTTGTTTTGATCTGTTGGCTCTTTTGTTTGGCTTTTTTTTTTTTGGTACTTGATATGCTAGATTTCAATGCAACAGACATTAATTTTATTAATATTCTAATTTTGCATGATTTAATAGCTTCTAATTTCTTTTGAGCCTGTATAAGAGAAATTTATCTGTGGATTATGTGTGTATGGCTTTATTTCATATGTATTGATTTTTTTCAGGGGAATCGTTGTTTAAACAGTTAGCTGCCAAAGAGTCCACAAATGCTAAGAATAACATTAATAAGTTTTTGGATAATAGGCCTAACACCCAAGTAAGTTTTCTAATTTTTCAAAAATAAAATCTGATAACTTTTGAATTAATTATATTTAAAGTCAGGAATTTTAGGAGATTTTGTTTAATGCTTGCATATTTGAAATTCGTACAATTATTATACTTAGAATTATTTTATCTTTCATCATTTGCTATTCAATTTTTTTCACACACAGTTTAGTGTTTTAGGGTTCTCATTAGTTTTTTTAGTAAATATTGGCCCATATTCTGTTATTTTTAAATGTCATGTTTACTACTGTCAAATTTGTATTCAAAGTTATTAAGTTTTGTTTCAACAATTATCATATTTTAAAATCCAATAAATATTATGTACTTTAGATCATTATCTGAAATGTTTTAAAATTTTTATGTGCTAATATTAAATGATACCCTTTTATGTATTTATTACCTTAAGTATTTCTTATTTTAATTTTCATCTTTGAATGTATATATTTTGCTGGGCATTTTGATGACCAGCAAATCTTAGAATTTACTAGTGTATCTAACATTTCCATAAATGGGTAAAAGATTGTGGTAAATATCAAATTACAAATGAATCCCAGCAGTTCCTGTTATTTTATAAAAGTATACTTATGCAGATGAGGAAAATAATACTATAATTCATTAATGCTTAAAATATTTAACTTGCTACAATAATTTAGTTATTTAAAATATTTGTATCTCAGTGCAATTATAAATAGTGAAAGGATTTGTTTAAAAACCATAAAAAATATGTAATTCTAAATGTCTGTAATGAACAGATAGTTTTTTTAATATGTTTCATACTCTTGAACAAAAGTGTTATATTTTTATCGGTTTAAAAAAATACTTTTTATTATTTGCTTTTTTAAAAACCTCACAAGATTTTTTTTTTTTACATCATCACATAACGTCATTCATTCTGATGGACCAAAAACAATATAAATTGTTTGTTATTGCAAATACTTAAAATACAATTTAGGAAATATTTACACACAAGAACAGATTGATGATGTTTTAAGTTTCCAGATTTACATAATTGATGATGTTGCCAGATTTACATAAATTTCAGCCATGAATACCTTCTGTTGGTAATCTGTAGATGTTATCTAACTCAATTTTTAATGAGTAAATAATAGTACAGTACAAAAACCATGATCCAGGATCGCCAGGACTTCAGCGATTGCAGATTTTCAATTATTGGTTTAAATTTATTAATATGAGATGGAAATGTAGCAATATTGGGATTACACTTATGATATAAGTCAGTCGAAAAATGCTAACCCCCAGAACTTCAAGGGCTGAAAGTGTGATCACAGCCAACATTAGCACATCTAACAATGCATTGCCATTGGTACTCAGTTATTCCCTTACCAGCAAGTGTTTGAAAATGACATATTGAAATTAGAGTGAGTTTGGAGGAAAATTGCTTTATAGCCCACCTGCTTCTTTATATTGAGTTACTTTATTCTCCATTTCTAGAATTTTTAAGGCAGAGTTGGAATCCTTTTTTGCACAAGAGAGCTGAATCTATATAGTGGATGTCTAGATTTTGTATTTTGTGTGTTAGAATATAATTAAAATTCTAAGATATATGGTCTTCATACTTTTAAATAACATTAATATTGTTAAGACTGATGCACATGGAAATACTGTAAAACTTCATCACATTATGTATTCAATTTTAAAAGTGTATTTTATCTTATGCATGTTAAAATATAATATACGTAAATGACAGTATAAGCGTTGTTTTAAGTAACACATGTTTACAAGATTGAAATGTATTTAAACAAAAAATTATGATTAGAGATTTCTATGAAAAGTAGAAAAAAAAGTGTGCAGCATATATTCCATACATATTGGAACAGTCAAAAATTTTCTACTTGTTTTACTTTTTTCCTGTGTAAAATTTCAGTATTTGAGTTATGTTAACATTATTACTGAAGTAAATTTGAATATATTAGTTTTATTCATAAGAACTTTTTTAAACTATACATTGTAGCATTTTGTTGACTTGTCCTGTTTAGTATCGTTAGGTGAGCTGAATTTTGAAAGCTCTTATTTGAATATAACTGCATTATGAAAATGGCTAGTGTGGACATATCACTTCATTTTTTTTGTAATTCCTGTTTATTCAGTTAGCAAAATTCTTGTTGCATGAATTCAGAGAGTGCCGAACTCTCCCCTCAACATTTTTCTCAGGGATGTCATTAGAATTATTAAGTATCCCTTTGTGATTGTGCTAAATTTGTCTGAATGTTAGGTTGAAGGCATTTAGTTTTTGTACCTTTCTTGATCTCTTTGTAATTTTGTTACACCATTAGTTATTACTTTCATTTCTTGTTTTAAGTTTCATATTTTATTCATAAAACAATAAAACCATTACCTCTTTATAAAGATTATCAATATAGTCAAAAGTCTTTAATCCGGACTCGTCAAGACTTTGGCAATTCCGGATTATCATTTTTTCCGGATTATAGATCATCAGTTTAAATCTGATAAGATGGCATGCAGAAATTATAAATATGAAACCATAATTTATGAAATAAAGAGCAATTTTGGTCTAAAGAGTGTCAAAATTTACAAAAAAAAAAAAAAAAAAGCTTAATATTTACTTGTTTACTTTATTAAGCATTTCTTTCAATGTCTGTCCCAATGGGAAACTTCACACAGGGTGAAAGCCTCCAAGAAAGAAGTTGTTGCTTTACTTAAATAGGTTATTGTTAACGCTGTAGTATTTTACTTGTCATGTCGGAAGGAAAACTATTCCAAGAGAAATTCGTATTCATGGGCATTTTCGATGTTTAGAGGAAAAGAGATTTGGTCCTCTCTCGATGCCAAAGAGTTAAAGTTGAAATCATCATTTCACATTAAGTATATGGAGTTGAATGGCAGAACATTTATTACCATTGAAGAATATGTGAGAAATTCAGTTCTAACTGAGGCCCACAAGCGGCCGAGCTGTAAAGTCGCTGAACACTGGTAGTTCAGTCCGAGATTTGAGTCCCGGGAAGGGGCTGGCTAGATGGTTGTTTTCGTGGTTTTCCCCATGTGTAATGTGTATACAAGCCAGTTTCCCTTAGAAAGTCCTCTACGAAGGCACCCCTTTCCTTAGGCAGATAGCTTTCGAGACTTTGCCATAATCACATAAATCAAACCAAACCAGTTCTAACTCAGATCCATAATTCAGTCAAGGATTTTTATGAAATCACGATTTAAGTTTAAATCACTCGATAGCTTAACTAATTCTTTTTAGCTTTATATTGATTAATGTTTTTTATGTCAACTAATATAATTTCTTTAAATTCATGTATCTGAATTAAATTTTTGTGACTCTTATCATTTTACTTTGTGAACCACTGTTTGTGTTGTAAACAATAGTTGAATTTTCGCTTTTTAATGTAAGAAAGGGAATGAAAAGCCTTTAAACTTTCTTTACGGATGAAACTTTTGAAAAATATTCATAACCTTTTTTTGGGTGTATATTATTCATGATGATACTGAGGGATCTCAAGTGAGATAAAGATTGTTCCTTTTATTGTTTTTCTTACTTTCTGATAAATGAAAGCAGATTTCTGAAATACACTGTCCTCCAAAAGGAATAGTATGTTTTTTGTGTCTAATTCGAGAATGAAGCAATGTAGAAACAAGAAATTTAGAGGACATGTTCACTAAACAGTTCTTTAATGAATGTGTCACAGAATGTATTTAAAGCTCAACACAAACATGAATTACAGCCAAAAATTGCACTCTTGGCAGAGAAATTCAGTCTTGGAAAAATAGTACATCACTGTTTTTTGAGGGCAAATATGATGGTAACATTACAAAAGGAATTCTAATAAGGAATGTGTCCACCCCTAGCTGTAATACATTGGCGGCAGCATGGAAATGGGACAGTGAAATGGGAAGCAACGGCCAAACATGGAGTAATCCTTATTCAACCTCATCTAACAACTCTTGGATGAGGACTTAAAGCAGGAACCTGTTTCCCAAGGATTCAAGTCTGCAGATTGAGCTGGCCATTCATTCTGCTCTGTCATTCCTTGACCCTCAAGATATTCTTCAGCAACTTGAGCTCGGTGCAGTCGGGCACTGTCGTATATGTACGCACTTATATGCAATTCTATAAGAAAACAAAATTTCAGAAGATTTAAAATTACCCATGAACAGGTTGCTAGGTTGAGCCCCATACTTTAGGAACTTTTATGCTATTGTGCTCAGGTATTTAAAATTTCTACAGTAATTTGTTGAACTAAATTTTTCTATTACATAAAATTAAATGTTTATTTATTTATTTAACTGATTTTTTCCCCCTAGAAAACAATATGAAGATTTCTTGGTGGCTATGCATTTATTTATAATGTCTTTCCCTTTGGATATGAAAATGAATGCAGTTACAGGGTGCGCCCACCAGTGGCCAAGCGGTAAAGTCACTGGTAGATCAGTCCGAAGTTCGAATTCCGTGCTGGCTGCATGGGTGTTTTCATGGTTTTCCCATGTGTAACATGTATATGAGCCAGTTTTCCTTAGAAAGTCCTCCACGAAGGCATCCATCCCCTTAGGCAATTAGCCCTCGAGGCTTTGTCATAATTAAATAACCTAACCAATTACAGGGTGCAAGTACAAGTGAGTGATATACTAGAAATTCAGCATTGGTTAAATAGGTGTAGTTCCAGTGCAGTAACTCTGCAGTTTTGCCCCAATTTGAGGGTCTCCCCTTTACACCTAACACTAGTCTCCTGTGAGGACTTTCAGCTTCCTGTGCATTTTGACTGCCCTCTTGCCACAGACACTATAGTCTTACAAACTGCCATGCTTTCTTTGGAATTTAAACCTGGGCCCATTGGTATGGCAGTCAGCGCACCTAATTATTATACCAGCTGGGTGGCTGATTGCAAGTACAACAAGTCCGTTAATTTAAGAGCATTAATTTGATTAATTGAGAGCATTAACATTCATCTGAGAACATTAATTCATCCATTAATTTGAGATAGATATTATATTTCTTATATAGGGCTTGATAGTCTGAAGATGAGACAATAGACATGAACATTTTTGCATTATGAATTTGAATTTGAAAATTAACCCCTATCAGATGCTGCAATAGCATTAGTGGCACTTTTAAAATTGAATTTTCTTCTAGCCCTTCTTATAACAGTACTGTGAACAAACTAAACTCACCTTAATGTAGATTTTTTGGAGGAATGTATTGTATTAGTACTTTTTTTCACGAAATTAGAAGCAATTTTTTTTAGTCCATTGCTAGAATCATTTAAAATTTCATTGTTTCTTTGAAATATATGCCTTTGAAATATAGCATTGGCTTTGTTCAAGCAGAGTTTCTAAGGTCATAGATATTTTTCATATATTTTTCTTAAAAATTTATTTCTTCATTTAAAATTTTTCGTTTTTTCTCTCACTTTGGAAGGGCACAAGACCGCCCTTGTGGAAAAGAAATGTAATTAAGACAGATTATTTCATGGAAACAAGTAAAATTTTGAAAACTATGCAAATATGAATCGCAGAAACAGGAGACACCCTTAGTATTCTAGATTCAGGATGAAAAAGTTTTATTTCAGTCATACGAAACATTCACTTTATATATTCATATTATATACATTTTTGTAATTTTATACTAAATGAATAACTTAGTTGATGTCACTATATTATGCTAATTTAAATTTATCCTTTTCATTTCACTTATGTTCTTAATGCGTAGTGATATTCTGCTGTGGGAATTGAAACAGATTGTAATTTCTTTCATTTGCTGATTTCTAGCAGGACCAGGCATTCGGGGATCAGGTAAAGCAGCTAAAAGAAGAATCAACTACTTTAAAGGAGCAGTTAGAGTCTGTTCAGAAACAGTTAGAGATAATGTCTTTGAAGTATCAACAACATAAAGAACGATACAGAGAAAAAATTTATCGTTTACGGTGAGTATATTGCTTCTTAAACCACTTATCAGATGATGGTATGAGTGCGCACTTTGGATTTCATATGTATAAAATAATGTAAAAAAAATCTTAAAAGCTTTTGTAAATAATATGATAGTTTTTCACTGTCATATATAGTATTTGTTTGAGGGGGTATCATATCCAGAATCCCTCTTAGTAGCCAAGTGGCTAAGAGACGAGGAACTGAATGTTTCTCGTAATGGAATGATCTTTAAAAATTAAATATTTTGGGAGTTTTCCAATGGGCAATGTAAATATGAGCCAGTTTCTGTCAGAATCTTTGCACAGCACTGGCCGAGTGATACAAAAGCTGATCACATACAATTTGCTAGATTTTGATTCCAGCAAACTGGCTGACTGTATGAAAGTACTTGTGCTTTCCCATGCATAATATGAATACAAATCAGTTTCCTTTCAAAAGTCCTCCTTGGAGTCATTTCTATCTTGAACAGTTCGTGCATGGTTTGCTATAATCTAAATAATCTCATTCAATCTAATCTTAGAAATATTTTCATAAAAACTATTCTTTAGGTAGAGAGGTGTTGTGACTTAATTAATCAACTAGTCAGCTGATCTAATCATAATTTGTTATTCTGTTTATTCATATGTAGGTAGATTTTCAAGTTAGCATATAACTGAAGAATTTCTATATTATCAGAGTTTAGTACATTCAGAAAATGTGGAAACTTCTACTACGACTCTTTATTTAAGAGTTAGTTAAGTACAGAGGGTGTAAACTTCAACTAACATTTGTTGAAATTTAAAATATAAGCCGAAATAAGTTTTCATGCAAACTCTGCACTTTTCATCAATAAATTTTATACCTTAAATTTGCTGGAAAATTCTGGGTACATATGCGGATGTATATACAGTTGCTTGTTGTGATTTGTTTGCTATAACTGTACTGTTCAAAATCTAGCGATGCATTATTAAAAAGGGAATCTTAAAGGATCATTCCTGTTTTTAGCTTTTTATTTGAAGGAAAGTTAATATTTTCCAATTAGGTTTTAAACCATTCCTGAAGCTTCAATGCATTGCTGTGCACTGAGGGACTGTGTAAATGAAATTTGATGTTGATTATATTAGAAATTAGTAATAATATACTTCTTTTATTCAGTGATCTTCAAGACCAGGAGCATAGAGAATGGAAGGAACGTTTTGAAAGTTGTGAGAAAGAATTGTCTTTGTTACGTGACATGTTGGCACGAGAACAGGAGTGGAGGGTTCAAGTGGAAGCAGACTGTCGAAAACTGAAAAATGATAATCAACAACTGAAAAATGGGTATGTGTATTTTTCCAAAATATTCTGTAAGTGATTCATTACAAAATTTTTTGATTCCATATTAAAGCAAATGCATTTGCAATCAAACATTTATTCGTACCAGTGGCCAAATTCATAACACAACTGGACATCAGTTGCTCATTCCATATTCAGTTCTCAGGAAAAAAAGGCCAGTCATATAGGATTTTCTCTTTAAGCAATGTGAATGGAAGCCAGTTTACCTTAGAAATTCTTTCATATAAGAATCCTTCTTATGACAGATAGCCCTCTTATGTTGTTATAAATTGATAGCTCATGCCGTTAGGTGGCGCTCGAAGCATCTTGTCTCTGCTGTTATTCTGTAACATAATTTTAGTTCAATGGAAGATTGAAGGTGTTAAGCCTAATAATAATAAAGGCGTGCACCTAATAATATTGCTTGTAACCTTTGTATTAAATGTAAATAAATTTGTGTATATTCATATCGAAGTGAAATCATCATTTACCTCTGGATTTAATGGTCTCTGAATGGTAATGAAAATAGTTACTACATATGTCCCATAATGAGTTAACCATGTTCTATTTGAATATATATGTTATGAATTCATGGTTTATAGCTTATTTGGTGTATAACTATGATTTATATAAAATCTATTGCATCTAGAGAATGGCATAAAATTTCCCAGCTGTACAATCCCTGTTTGGCTGTGTATTCGATACACTTGCTACATAACAGCCACTATATAATTTATTTTTATTTTAATCCAATAATTTAAAGGAGTTATCTTCAAACAGCTCGAGTAGTTGATGTCACAAGGACCATAGATCAAGTTTTTTTAAATATAACTTACCATGAGGTTTTTTATTTATTATTTAGAGTAATATAGTATAAAAGAGTAAAGTTTTATAAAACTGCAATGAAATTTATTTCCATAAATTTGATAAACATGGGATTTAAAAAAAAAATTCCATTAGGAATTTATCATTGTTCGAAATGAGTCTTTTCATATTTAAAACAATGATAAACACTCAAGCATTCAAAGATAATCATTATATCACATTTATTTCGCCTCATCCTTTTTTAAATTATAGACAAAAATGTTTTGTTCTAGTGTTCTTGAAATGCTGTTGATGTAAGGATAAGACTATGAACTTCCCAAATTCTTTTAATAACTTTAAAATTGCAACAAAGGAAGTCTGATTATGCTGCACTTTTAATTCTTATCAGAATAACAGTTATTTTTATTTTTATTTATTTATTTTTTATTTATTTATTTATTTTTACACAAAGACATAGAAATTGTTTAAATTGCATTTATCTGTCTAACATTTTAAGGAGTAGGATTAGCAAAATAGTAAATTAGTTAATTGTTGTTTACTGTTGATCCTAGCTTTAAGTAATTTGTTATCAGGACTGAGCTCATAAATGTATGTAAAATATGCATGCAGGCATGTATGGATGGATGTATGTGTCAGGTATGCATGTATATGTGTATGTATGTATGCATATGTGAATGTACATACACAAATATGCACATACATACATCACACATGCATACATATATACACTTCTGAATACGTCCTGATAACAGAAGAGCATCGTTTTAAGTAATGCAGTTGTAAAAAAATTATTGATTATTTTTTAAAAATTTATTTTATGATATATAGAACCTAACTTTTAAATATTATCCTTCACTTCATGTAAACCAGGGGTTGGTCAATACTTTTAACTGTGGGTCAAAAGGGTCTTTAATTAATAATGCATTATGAGAATATAGACCAGTTTACCTTAGTCCTTCATATGCTTTATCATATTCGAATGCATTATCATATTTATATGATAATTCATTCTATGTTGCTTGTATGCTTTATCATATTTGAATAACCTAATGTAGCTAGATGCCTAGGAACCTAAATAAAAAGAGCATCTTCCTTGAAGAGAAACATATTCATACTTCTTTCTAACATTTAATAGCAACAAATATTTACAAATTTTACAATAGAACATACAAGGTAGAATCATATCAATGATTGCTATGTATCAGTGGAGTGTTTACATTCTGAGTTCCTTCCCCCAATTCACTTCAGCTAATAAAATGTCTGCAACAGAATTTCTCCGTGACTACAACCTTGCTTTTTAATAATAATAACATAAGTATAATATAATACGTATAATTTTTAACCAGTGTTGATCAATGATTGTTTATCTTTGTGCAGTTCTATATATCTTTGAGTTGCTACAGGTTTTAAACTTCTTTGTGTAATGATGTTAAAGCATATTAAAAGAAGAATCTATTTTAGTTGTGGGAAAAATATGACAAATTAAACTATGCTTTCTCTCTTTGAACAGTATCTTGGAAAAAGAAAAGTCAGAACGAGAAAAGTCTGTTGACATTCCTGTCCTTCAGCGAGAAGTAGAGAAGATAAAAATGGCATCATCCCGTCCTCAGAGTGCCACAACATCTCCTAGGCGGCACAGTGTATGGCCTGTAATGTCTCACCCTAAAAAATGGTGAATACTGATATTATCATTGGAGTATAGATTTGTTGTTGTCCATTAGATGTCAAATCAGTTTAGTGATAGTTGTTTTTAACCTATGACGAGAACTCTGGATATTTTAGAGTGTCAAAATCTCATTTTTCATGTTATCAATCTATGTACATATTTTTTCTAAAGAGAGGTAGCATTAGAAATGACTTTCAAATTATTTATCTGTTTGCAGAATTTTTGATTATTAATCTGTTCGTAATTATTTTGCTCAAAAAGGAATAAAGGAGAATTGTTGGACTAATTTATATTGCCTTCCGTGTAAATTTGAGGCTATTTGTAATTTTTCCTGTAAACCTCTGCTATTTCTACATTAAATTATTCTTACAAAATTCAAATTTTGGAAGTAAATGTTTCTCGATATTATGTTTTTTAATACTGCTAATCTTTGTTAAGTTAGACATATATACTACAATGAAAAAAGAATAATTCTTTTTGACAGATGATAAATTTAAGTTAGGACATTATAGGAGACATTATAGTTAAACATTATAGGGAGAATTATTTTCTGTATACAACAAAAACATAATTTTAAATAATTCTAATTTTGTTTGAGAAATGGGTAATGAGTGGTAACCTTTTATCACTGTAAAAATTCCATTGAAAAACAAAGCATATACCCACTCCAAGAAAAGAGGGGTGGAGAAATGTTTCTTTTTTAAGTTTTAACCTCATTTGTGTTCTTTTATTTTATATATTTCTACAGAAATATTTTATTATACATAATATAACAGGTTGGAAGTAAAAATGATTTATATTTGATAGAAGAATGCATTTTATGGTAATAGTTTTCATTTTGTGTATTAAAATATAAAATATGATAATGCACTTTTTGCCTTTAAACTTCTGTAATTCACATATTGATAAATATTTTTCATAATGAGTTCTAGTACATAATTCATTTTGAATAGTGCTTCATTAATATATTCATTATTACAATTAGTATTATAAATATATATGCTACATAGTTCTAAAATTGAAAAGAATTTTTTTAAAAAGAATTTTTATCTCAAATTGTACCTTTATGCACACGATATGTAATATTTGGATGACTAAGATTGAAGTTGTGTACGAAACTTATAAAGACACATTGATTTTTATTAAAAGCTTCCTTTCAAGGGTGTCTTAGTGAATTTTGGGTATTTGTAAAAGTTATATAGAGAAAAAATAAAACTCATTTTTATTCATTTGTTATTGTTTAAGAACGAGTGGAATAAAATACTGAATGGAAATTCAAACTAGACCTCTAAAACATTTTTAACATCAACTCATGAACTGAATAATGAGTTGTAAATGGTATAGGTGATTTAGTCAGTTTTCATATAATTCTTTTCGTGTTTTGTATTATTTATTTTTCATTTTTTCCTTGAAATATGTTTGATACACAGTAACTGGAAACTTTAATTATTATCAGCTATTTGTAGGTAAGGCAATTAATCTTTGTTCCCTTTTTGAGCATTGCAAATAGGTCTGATACGATTGAAGCATTTCAGAAGCAAAATCATGTATGAAATAAGAAAATGCAAATAATACCATATTTGTAAATAACTTAAATAACACACAATTATACTTTTGTGGTGTAATTTAATTTGATTTTTCTCTCTTGCGAGAAATTTCCAGATGATAGGGCCCATCTGATAGATAATCAGAAATTTTATTATTTTTTGTGATATATAGAAGTTCAGTATATATAAACAGTTAATATCATTAGCTAGTGTAAATAAGTTGAAGTTCCTGTTTTCATATAATTTTAATTCATTATGATTGATAAGGTACAAATGCCAAGTTAACTATTTAAATATTTTTAATATTTTCATTCAGTGATATTATAGGAAGCTGCCTGCCTTAATGCATTATTTTGAGTAAAATCACATATTTAAGTTATATAGATTTCTGATATTTTTCCATTTTTTCCCCAGAAGTTAAAATTGAGGATTGCTAAAATAAATTCTAATTTGTGTTTTAAAATTAATACTAATGAAGTTTATAACTTGGAATGATAAAAAAAAAAAATTTTGTCTCCTATCCCTTTTCTCACTGTTTTTTTTTTTAGTAACACAAGCTCAATTTTTTGCTTCTGAATCATTAAAAGAAATAAAGGAAACTTTATTTTTATTGTATATACTTCATATTGTGATCCTAGTCATTCCTTTGTCAGCATTTTATGTTTTATGCAAAATCTAAATGTAAATGCAGTTTTTTATTTCAATGTACAAATAATTATTAGTAGATTTTCAATTGTCATCCTTAATTACAAAATTGTAAGTAATGGAAAACCAGGTTCATATGTTGTAATTATGATTTGTGAAATTAAAGTTTATTATTATTATTGCTACTACTATTACTTTATATTTTACAGAAATTTTTATTGATAATCCTGAAGTGAAAATACTGACAGAAAGAATTAATCTCCTATCAGTAAAATTAATTTGTGTTGTTTGATTTTTTGCTTTTTTATATATTTAAAACTATCATTCCGTGTAGTTTTGAATCTCTTTATTATCTTCTAAAAATGTGGAGAATTCTAAAATGTGCATATAATTGTTTTCCATTTTTGGAAAAAGAAAAAATCTTATTCTAGTCATTCTTCAGGAGATTTTTGTGTTTGTTTAATGTTTTCATGAGTCACTGTTAACCATGGCACAGTCTTTTATTTTAGTTCCTTCTGCAACGCAGAAATTGTTTTATACATAAATATAAAGAATATTTTAAGTCTGTGGAAGAATTCTGTACATTCCTGGTTGCTCAAATAAAAGTGTATGTCAGTTGTGTAGTTGTTATTTGTTGTTGTTCTTATTAGACCATTTTAAAAATGCTTCCAATTTTTACAGCCTTTTATTACATATTTTGTATAACCTTTATGTATTTCCTTTGTAATAATTGTTTTTATTACTCAATAATGAAAAAGCATTTTAAAAATGCACAATTGTATTGCAACAAGTTGAACAATTTAGTCGCAAAAATTGGTGCCATGTAATGAAGGCAGTCACATTGTAGATTGCGATCAACAGATAACAATTTTAGGTTAATTATTCTCGAACACTGTTAATATACATACATGCACAGTCTATCCAAAAAGTCCCAAGGGAGCTTATCTTCATCGCATGTAATCATAACTGGAATAAAACAGGGAATGCAATTCCCAGATGTCATGGATCATTTGTACAAGAGGATTCGGCAGGTTTGTCTGGAACCATGGAAGAAGGGGGGGGGATTTCTTTTTGCTGCACGATAATGCACTCACTCACATGGCTTAGGGTGGTGAAGTTTTTAGTGAAAAAAACATGCCAGTTCTTAACCATGTTCCATAGTCACCCGATTTGATGCAGAGTGACCTTTTTTTAATTTCCAAAAATGAGTATGTGAACAGTTAATTCTAGCATGATATAACTAACATTGAAGCTACAATCACATGCAATTTGAATAACATCTCAAGCGAAGACTTTTCTAAACTTTATATGATTCTCAATGAACATTCTCTGCATTGTACTTAAGTTGGGGGTGACTGTGTAGAACACTTGGGAAAACCTTCGTCTCAAGTTTTCATTAATCTAGTCATTGCACTTTAGAAAAAGAAATAAGCTGATGCTATAAACTTAATTTTGATTAAATATCAACTACACCTTTACTCTAGTTCTTTATAAAGTGTGATTGAAATAGGCATGTCCTAATGCATAGAATCATAAATTACTGCTGTTAGTATCTAAATGTTCCTGCAGATGTGATGAAAGTAAATGCTGTAAATTGAAATCTTAATAAATTTTTATATAGTATATTTAACTGCAATAATTAAAAAAAAATTAGCAATATATTGAGAAGTATTAATGCAATGTACATAAAAAACAGAAGAAACTAGATTGTTGTTTAATTTAACATTCTGCTTTTTTATCTCCCTTTTAGGAAATTTAAATCTCAATTACATCATGTCAGTCTTTCTCACTCAGTGAAATTAAGATATTCATTTTTCACCAACCAGGTAGCTGTGTAAACTCCTGCTGATGAATTTTAAAATTTCTTTTGATACTTTTACTGCTTTCATTACAAAGATTCATGGTTACGTCTCACATGGAGGTTAGAATACATGGAGATGCGACATTAGCAATCGGGGCTTCGAAAAATAGCCTTTTTGTGTTATTTTTCATATCAGGTTTTAAAATGTTATTAATAACTAAACTAATTAATTGGATTATATTATTTAATTTTAGAAGACTTCTCACCTCTGTGGGATTATAAGTCTTGGAAATCGAACATTATCTTGTCTTGGAATCGAACAGTCTTGGGAATTATTGTAGTGTTACTCTTTTTGAAAAGTTAAAACTGCATGTTTTGTACCTTGTTAAAAGCACCTATAACATCAATGGCCTAGCTACGGTGGGGCAAAGGGGGCATTTGTGCCCAGGCGCAGCCTCCAGGGATGCCAAATTGATGTAATGAAATTTTAGAATGAAATGTTTTCCATTCTAGCATGCAGAAGGGGATGCAAAATCTTCAGTTGTCCCGGGCATTGAAAGCCCTTGCTATGGCTCTGTATAACATCAATCTTGTTATGTTGATTTCTAAACCCATCTAATACAGACTTGAACTGCATTTTGTGTACTATGTTTTGAACTTTTAATGGTGCATATTTTTATAAATTATGAAATTATAAAAAGTGATCATAATTCTCCTAATTACTAATAAGCTCTGATTCTCTAATAAACTGAATGAGCGAATGTGTGGAAACCTGCTGTGGTAGTATTGCATGGGAATAAGAATGGGAGAACTAAAAAGTAGAGAATAAAGCCAACTTTTAAGTTCTATATACATGTTGGAAGTTGACAATAAGATTAAATGAAGTTTGAAGAAAATTAAATAATAAATAACCAATATGGTGGATAGATTAACAAAGGTGGATTACTTATTTTATTGTTTTATTTTGTAATATAACAAACTTTTCGAAACAATGAGCAGCAAAGTTAACAAGATAAATAAAGTGAAATTTAAAAAAAAATTCAGTGTACACAATGTTTTGGATAAAAACATTGCTTTGCAATCATAAAAATTGATCATATGAGTGCATCCACACCATACACATTTATTTCGTCTTACCTTCTAATATAAGATTATGCATTTTTGCAATTATGATGCATTTTTTCAGTATAAACAATCATTCAAGTTTTTTTTTTTTTTTGGTACAAAATGTAACTTTTTTGAATAAAAGTGTTGTGCTAAATGTTTTATGTATATTAAGTGTAATATATAGAGTAATGATAATAGTGTAGCACATGTAACATACATAGTGTAATAACTTTTAAAAAATGTAGTGTTTTGTATTAGCCAAGATTCTGCTCTGGTGCCAAGCATTTCTCAGCTAATATAAAACATGTAGTATTTATCTAAGTTGAGGATTCACAACAAATCTAAAACTGTTTAAATGCTTGATTTTTAAGGAAGATTGTGACAAAGAATGATAATAAAATCAAATTATTCAATTCTACATAGCTTCTATTTGGTTTAATGATTAATATTCTTGAATAAATTGCTATTCCCTGAAAAATTAATATTTGTTTTTAATAATAAAAAACTTGTAGCTAATAATAAATGAAAATGTGAATGTGACATGATATCCTCAGTCAATGGTGAATCGAAAATTATTAATGTATTTTCTTTTAATGACAAAAGTCATTAAAAGAAATGACAAAGTCAAATATCTAAGGAGCCATTCTAGATAAAAAAAAAATGACTTTTCAGAAACATGTCAGGAAAACTGTGAAAAAAATTAATATCACACTTGCAACTATGTGCCCTCATTTTGGCAGAAGAAGTCATATGGCTGCTTCAAATAAACTCTTATATGAATCTATACTTCGACCAGAATTATTCTATGCTAGTTCTGTCTGGAGCCATGCTGCCAAAACTCACCTTCAAACATCCAAGTTCTTCAAAACAAAGCACTTAGTGAGATTATCAACGCGCCATGGTTCATTCCAAATTCGTATATCCATCATGATCTCAAAATACACACAATTCAAAATTTTCTTTAAAATCTTGCCAGAAATTTCTTCAATTCAGTTCTCACTCATCATAACCAACTGCATCAACTCTCTTAGATGTTCTACATTTCCCAGAGAAAAACACAAATATCTAACATTCTCCATTCGTAACATTTTTTACTCATACTAGACTCTTCAGTTCATTGATTTGAACCTTCCACCAGAACCTCACCTCGTTCGTCAACTGAATCTGCTTATACTTTTTACTTAAATCTGCTTATACTTTCATTTCATTTTGTCCATACTAATTTTATTTCATCGATGATCTTCACTAGATGCAGAGTAAAAGGAAGCACTGCTTTCTGAAACTTAATTCACTATATGTTCTTAATAGCAGATTCATATGAAACAATTCGATTTTATCTGTTCCTTATTCCCATTCTACATGAGTCTAATTATTATTTTTTTTAACTGTTTATAAATAATGTATATAGATTCAATGAAGTTTGTCATGAATTTGTTATGTGTTTTATTAAGTTAAAGTAGTTTTACTGTTCACACAAGCTATTTTTTTAAAAAAGAATTTTGTTGCATCTACATAAATGTTTATCCCTTAGATGAAAAATTAATTATGGCATCACCTTTAATGCAAAAGGCAGGGCAGGAATATTTAGAATTTAGGAATTGCAAAGATGAATCGGGCAGCAGAAAACATAAAGCTGTGAAAGATTTTATTTATTTAATAATCCATCTATTGGAAGCCTCTCATTATTTTGAGCTTCTTTTTAACTCGTTATTAATACTCACCAGTGAAATTTGCACAAAAGGAGCAATTATAATCATATCTCCAAAGTATATACATAATTAACTATGTTAAACTCTCTGTAGTAAAATAATGTATTCTCATGGTAGCACATATATGATATTTCATTATTAATAATATTTCTGTTGATAGTAAAATCATAATCCAGTCTGAAATCAAAATCCCAACAAACAGTATAGAGCTTGAGCTATGGCAACGTCTAGGCAATATTTAGCACCGATGGCTAAATCTCATTCAGTCCTTGTTCAAGGAAATTGAAAGCTATTGCAATCCAATAAAGGCATCTTCTCTAAAATTATTGACCAAGTGGGTAAAAACTGTTACTTTTTTAATCAGAAAAATAATTTTTTTACTTCAAACTATAATCCAATCCTTCCTTTTTTTTTCCCTTTCTCTACCTGTTACAAAATTATTCATATTTTACGCACATTCAGCTTTCCGATTCGCGATATGAATGCTCAGGGTATTTATAACGTTCTTTGTCAGTAGGCTTGATATACATTGGTCTTTAAAATTTCGCATCAAGGAAAAGGAATCTTAAGTTCGAAAAAGTAACAATTAATAATAGTATTCAATATATATAAATGGTTCACATTGCTGCTAGTCTGCAAATCACAAGTTCAGTTTGTTTCTGCTAAAATCATCTTGAAAACTTTCTCAGTTTGTGAATTAGATTTGCTTGAGGTTTTCCATGTGCATAAAAATATCTCCACGTTAGTTGATGATATTAATTACAACTCTTATTCCTCAGTTATCTATAAACAAAATAACTCTTGATATGTTTCACTCTTTTATCCCTAGATGGCACCACTTGCTTTAGTTTCTTTTCATTATTTTTTTTTCTCTTCATAGAAGCGCTGTTGTATAGATTGCTAATGAACTCCCAAAAACAATTGTTGTCGTGTTGTTAATGGTACTTGTTTTTCATCTACAATAGACACCAATTAATGTGATTGCGGGTAATGTTATCATTCGGTTATTGTTGTAGCGTTGCCGAAGTTCTGTCCTTTTGCGTACGAAAACATGGAAAATATACCGCTTACTGGGATCGACAATTCGGTTAATATGATCAAAGTATTAAAGTACGAATTTTTTAAACTGAAGTAAAGTCTCTAAATAAGTTTTAAATGCATTACAATGATTGTTATGTTGCAGAGAAATGTCGTCGAGTAAGGGATTAAGTCGGCAAGCATCTTGGTTTCGATTTTAGTCAACCATTTAAAACTAGGCAAAGAAACAGCCTTAGTTTGAAGTAGATTTTGAATAACCCTACCGATTTTTAGAGGATCAGATACAGATCTCTCTTTTTCAGGAGAGAGAGAGAGAAAAAAAAAAAAAAAAAAAAATCTACTGATTTCTCCCTTTCCCACCCTCGACCCAGAAAACATTCCATGTACACATCTGTGGGAATCTAAGGTTGCTTCTTTGTATCATTTTAAATTTGCATTAGCAAATTTTTTTCAAATAATAGAAATGCCGCGTTTCAACAGCAAATAATTTCCAGAAAACGTTATGAATCTTTAAATTTTTCAACTTTTCAAAAATGTTCTTTTGCTTTGAAGGCATTAGTTCTTAAAAAAAAAATATATTTTTATATATTTCTAGTTATTTTATATGAAATTAATTAAATTTCACTGGTATTTCGAAGGATATTTATATCGTGGATTAATGTTATCAAAACAGCCATAGACAAACACATGATAATTCATCCTTTGTCAGAAAAGTTCCAGGACAAAGGTCGTATAGCTGCTATCAAAGTAGTCCCATTGGCTATTTTATACACAACTGCCAAAATTTCTGGAGTTCTTGAAAGCAGGCGGGTAAATCATCAACTGCGATCCTTACAATCTCATTTGTCACAGTCCGTTGGATGTCTACAATAATATTGATGAAGCTTTCCTTTCAGTTACCTTTTCACTTACAAAAACAAGGAAAAAATCACAATATACTTTAACAGAAATGTGGGATCACGTCTGGCTTTTCCAATAGTTCAGCAGAAATTCTTCGTCTTTCTACTTTCTGTTCATCTGTTGGGGAGTGTCCGTTTCCCTAAATCTTCGCGTAAAATCTTAAAAATCATCACGATTCAAATTCAGTTCTTATAACATACGCAAGTTACATGACGGTCTTCTTGCAATAACTGCCTTACACGCTCTACGTTTGCATCAGTATGTGCTATAGGCGGGCGACTACCTCTGGGAATGTCTTGCACTGAACCTCAACCTTCACGAAACCTTTTATGCCACTCGAAAACACTACTTCTTGAAAGTGCTTTCGCCTGCATGCTTGCTTAACCATGTTCTACGTTTCACTAGGGGTTTTTCCGAGCATAACTGTTGCTCAAAGTCAGCATCCATGTCTCAGGCTACTTCTATCTCAGTCACTGCTGTCAGATTGCTTCATCGAAAGAAATACGACTACAGTTTCAAGGTTCAGCCTTTCCAGCCATGAATTATTAAGAACATATAGTGAATTTGAGTTTCAGAAGCAGCGCCTCCTTTTACTCTGTATCATGTGAAGAACATCAGTAAAACCAAAAGACGAAAGTAAATGTCAGGTAGCCTCCATCAGTTGATGAAAAAGGTCCAAATCAGTGAACTGAAGAATCTAGTATAAGTAAAAAATGTTAAGGATGGCTAATGTCAGATGGATATTTGTGCTTTTCTCTGGGAAATGGAGAACATCTAAGAGAGTTGATGCAGTTGTTAGAATGTGTGAGAACTGAATAGAAAAATTTCTGGCAAGTTTTTGAATATAATCTTGAATTGTATCTGCTTTGAGAACACGGTGGATATAAGAATTTGGAATGAACCATGGTTCGTTGATAATCTCTCTGAGTGCTTTATTTTGAAGAACTTGGATGTGTTGAAGGTGAGTTTTGGAAGCGTGGCCCCAAACAGGACTAGCATAGAGTAATGCTGGTCAAAGTATAGATTTATATAAGAGGAGTTTATTAGAAACGGACATATGACTTCTGCCAAGAAGTGGGCGCATAGTTGCAAGCGTGATATTGATTTTTTCACAGTTTCCCTGAGATGTTTCTGAAAAGTCAATTTTTTATCAAGAATGACTACTGGATATTTAACTTCGTCGACCCAGTCAATTTCTTCATCAAACAGAAGAGGTCTAGGTAGAATGAAACTTGTTTGACCTTTGCGAAAATTATTGCTTTTGATTTTTCGGTATTAATTGCAATCCTCCAAAGAGTGAGCCAATTTTTTTAGATGATTGAGGTAATGTTGAAGAAGGAGCTGGACATCAGTAACAGTAGAAGCTTGGGTGCCATGAATTATAAATTTTTAACTTCATTTTAGACTTTTGCGATGAGATTTAGGGCATTAAATATGTCAGTTTCTTCTAAAAAAATTTCTTGCCTTTGTTAATAAACTGAGAATTATTTTGAGGAACGATGAAAAAATAATTTTCAAAACTTGTTTTTCGCAAAGGGATAATTCGAGAGTTTTTTGTAACGGTCTGTGGGGAAAGAATGCAAAAAGCGATGCTATTATCATGTAATACGTTCATGTTCTTAGATTAATTACACTTAATTGAATAATATTATTGTAAAATTATTTCCGGTACTGCTCATTCTTCGAAAACTGAGGCCTGTTGCCACCTTCTTGATGCCTAATGTCAGCTGGATATTTCAAACGCGAGTAAAAGAGAAATATTGCCGTTTTCAAAAACTCTGGTTTAGAGTTACTTTTAAATACCCAAATTTTTCAATGTTAATAAGTATTATGATGTAATAACGGGTAAATAAGATCAAATAAAAATTGCGGGGTGGGATGGGGGCTTCAAACATGTGGTATTTTTCACGCAGCTTTGGAAGAAAAGAAGAATATTGTTTGTTTAAGCAGTAATAAAACAATATACAATAACATTTTGTTATTGTATACTGTAATTATTCACTGTTTATGAACTAAAGTTTCTACACTTTTTTTAAATATGGCTATTGTAGCTTCAATTCTCAAAACTCAATATTTAACACTGCAACTCAATCTTCAACCCTCAACAGTTAATACTCATATCTCCAATCATCAACACTCATATCTTCAATTCTCAAAATTCAATCCTTAACACTGCAGCTCAGTCTTCAACACTTATATCTTCAATCCTCAACACTCATATCTTCAATTCCCAAAACTCAATCCTTAGCACTGCAACTCAATCCTCAACACTTATATCTTCAATTCTCAACACTCATATCTTCAATCTTCAACAAAACAAAAATTAAAATGCGAACGCATACATGGTTAGAATCATTAAATTTGTCAAAGCAGAAAACATGAAAAATGTGCAATATCGTCAGCAGGATTCGAAATCCGCACCTTCCATTGGTATACAGATGTGCTTCGAGTTACACCATACATACGGTAAGACATACGGTAAGAAAGGAGAAAAATCTCTTACACATGTATACATAAAATGTTTCACACATACACAATAAAAGCATAAAAGAGACAACATGTAGTTATTTTTTATTATCCCGTATAATACATAATGAAGGACTAGAATTCTATTCACAATGAAATACTTCATAGTAAAAGTTGGTTAAATGATGCAGAGTATAAATACACTTAAACAGAGATGGGACAAATCCTAATATTTTTAATTAAAAAAAAAAAAAAAAAAAAATTTTATTTTTTTTAGAATCCGAGCTCTAAATGACTTTTGAATCCTCTATATAAAAATAATAATAATAAAAATTATTTTACTTATCAACAAGATTTTTAATTTAGGCAAAATTTGAAGTATACGTTTAACTGGAAAATAAAACTAAAATTATTGTTTTTAAAAATACAATTATATGCATTAAGAAGATGCAACTGAAATTGAATAAATGAATTAATTACGCGATTAGGATTCGCAAATCCGGAAGTCCATTTTCCCAGTATAATATGTCACAAAATATCTGAGTAACAGTTGAGAATGTGTAGGTGTTTTCAGAATTTATTTAAATCAAAGCAAATGTAGACGAAAGAGAATTATTTAAAACTTTAATATAAATAAACAAACACTAAACACGGAACACTGAATTCTGCTCCAAAATTTAAATGAATGGCAATCAGGATCGTCACGATTACCAATCAGGATTGGTAATTCAAATCCATCGATACTCTAACAGTGGCGCTCATTTTTAACGAATATTTCTATTGGTCGTCAATGAAACTAATCTTCGCAAAATTTTGAATTAAAATATGTAAACGCTTTTTATGCTTTGGATTTAAATGACGGAAAGAAAAAGCAAAAATTTTGAGTTTAGAATTTCCTGCAAGATTTCCTGCAAGTTTCCTGCAACTGTACTTGAAGATTCGAATGTCCCATCCCTCTATTTAAATAAAGCTTACTAAGACGCAACACAAATAAAATTTGTTGCCAGCTGTATATACGAAATAAAAAATATCATTCATCCATACATATGAAAAAGTGTACATAATGAAATTTGTTCTCTGAAAATCCATTCGCAGCAAAATGTGTCAAACTGGGACTGAGAAGAATGCTTTTATCTTTTATTTCCCACGGGCTGGGACGACATCTTAAGTCTTTCATTTGTACGCATCTATCATAGCCAAACCCAGTTGGTAATCTGGAGATTCATGTTGACGAAGAACGTTCTCAGCCAAGTACCTGGATTATAAAAAAATTCCGAGTTTCGATCTTCTAACGAAAGAATATTTGTGAAAAAGATGTTCAAGAATTGACTTAACCAAAGAACCACTTCACATTTCAGATTAAACGTTGAGGTATATCACATGTATTTAAAACCATATGTATGTTTATGAACATATGCTTTGTTTAAACGTCAAACACGATAATTACTTTGTATATACATATATCCTGAACACCTAATAATCTCTAACCATTCTTTCATGACTTCTATTAGCACCTTGACTTTAGAATGGCATTAGATTTGAGTATTATAACGAGAAATATATATTTAAAACATTTTCATGGCAGTTCAGAGTGTCATATGTTGATCTACTCCTGTATAATTCTGATGCCCGCAACTGGGAGCAGTTGGGGTCAAGGCTAAATTCATATTTTGTTGAGTAATGGAGCAGGTATTTTTAATATGGCGTTGCCTCGATTCAGGTTGTTGGGAGTAGCACAGATTGTGATCAGAATTGTGCTTGCTTACTGGACTAGGTGCCTGAATGTTGGAATTTCGTATGGAAGATGGTGATGCTGAAGAGCAAGTGCTGTTCCTGTAGTTATCTTTACAACCTATAAAACGAAATTTTTCAGTTATAAGAACATATCTAAACACTGAGAATTATATTTAATTAAAAGATTGCCAATTTTTCATGAAAAACTATAAAATACCAAACAAATATATCAGAACATTTATTACAATATTTAATATACTGTATTTCGTAGAATCTCAAGAATCTGAATTATGGATCTTATCTATATATATAGATAAAAGATAAAGTCTGTTTCTTTGTCCTCTAATAACTCAGTCACTACTATAGCTGTCGTCACCAAACTTTCTACAATTCTTTTCTGCGTCTTGCGAAAGGTCGACGTCCACTTTTTTTCCAAAATAAATTAGCTAAAATCAGAGATATAAATTTAAATTTATAATTTTCGCCCTCATTTTTCCGAGTGGCAACAGTCTCGCAAGCTGGAGATGAAAATCTGCTTTATTCGAAAGTTGTTGCCACTGCTCGCTTTCAAATCCTAGACTTTGTTAATAAAAAATTTCTTAGTTTTACTATGAAATAAAAATAGCATTGTCAAACATTAAATACATTATTCCCGATTCCAAAAATTCGTAGGAAGCCATTTTGACTCTTTCCATCTTCGTACGACTTTAATCAGCCGAAATATTAATTAAAAAACTCTGAAAGCGTTTATTTTGGCACTCATTTTTCTGAGTGGCAACAGTCTCGCAAGCTGGAGATGAAAATCTGCTTTATTAAAATTGTTGCCACTGCTCGCTTTCAAATCCTAGACTTCGTTAATAAAAAATTTCTTAGTTTTACTATGAAATAAAAATAGCATTGTCAAACATTAAATACATTATTCCCGATTCCAAAAATTCGTAGGAAGCCATTTTGACTATTCCCATCTTCGTACGACTTTAATCAGCTGAAATATTAATTAAAAAACTCTGAAAGCGTTTATTTTGGCACTCATTTTTCTGAGTGGCAACAGTCTCGCAACCTGGAGATGAAAATCTGCTTTATTCGAAAGTTGTTGCCACTGCTCGCTTTCAAATCCTAGACTTCGTTAATAAAAAATTTCTTAGTTTTACTATGAAATAAAAATAGCATTGTCAAACATTAAATACATTATTCCCGATTCCAAAAATTCGTAGGAAGCCATTTTGACTATTCCCATCTTCGTACGACTTTAATCAGCTGAAATATTAATTAAAAAACTCTGAAAGCGTTTATTTTGGCACTCATTTTTCTGAGTGGCAACAGTCTCGCAAGCTGGAGATGAAAATCTGCTTTATTCGAAAGTTGTTGCCACTGCTCGCTTTCAAATCCTAGACTTCGTTAATAAAAAATTTCTTAGTTTTACTATGAAATAAAAATAGCATTGTCAAGCATTAAATACTTTATTCCCCATTCCAAAAATTCGTAGGAAGCCATTTTGACTATTCCCATCTTCGTACGATTTTAATCAGCCGAAATATTAATTAAAAACTCTGAAAGCGTTTATTTTGGCACTCATTTTTCCGAGTGGCAACAGTCTCGCTCGTTGGATATAAAAATGCTTTATTTCGAAAAGTGTTACCACTGCTCACTTTCAAATCGTAGAGTGTTTGTTAATAAAAAATTTGTAAGTTTTAAAAAATCTGCACATATAAAGAAGAATGTCTGTTTGTGTCTTTGTTTGTTTGTTCGCGTTATTGATTTTCGATCAATTATGATTAATTTTTCGCCACATTAATCGACTAAAATTGAATATAGGTGAAATATTGGATGAAACTTGAGGTTTTACGACCATTTGATTAGAAAGACGAAAATCATTAAAAACTGCGTGCCATTGTTGCTGATGAAATGAGAGAGAATTAGCTTATTATTTTATGGAAATTTTTTATGTGGGTTCCATATGGCAAATGACTGAAAAATGTATGATTATGAATCGTAGTTTTTGCATCGTTATTAGAGAAAGATTACAGCAGTATCGTTTTCTCTGTTGGTAGTTGCATTACTCTTAATCTAACTTAACTGGCATCGGATTTGTTTCGAAATTCAATTGTTTTCGAAAATTTTGGTAAACGTGGGGCGGGTGGACTGTAGATTCTTCATTATTTAGTTTCTTTATAATACAGGGTGATAATATTTGGTGGAAACAATCCGAAAGGTAATTCGCCGTTTATGGTGAACGACGCAAAATCTCGTTTTCACACTAATAGCCTATTCGGGCTAGCGTCCTTTTAGCTAAAAATTCTTATATAATTTTTTAGTCGAAAGTGGCTTTGCCCCTGAAGGACTATTATTTTCGTTTTGCGATTTTGCGTTGGTTCACTATAAATGTCCGTTTCACTTTTCAACTGTTGCCACCAAATGTTAGAGTCTTGACTTATATTTGAAGAATTTACATAATGAAAAATCAGCATAAATGTACGTATATTTCTCGCATTGTAATAAAACAACGGTACCTAGAGTCATCGAATTTTGGATGACGTAATCCTCCTACGAATATGGACATGTGGAAGTCCAAATTTGAAATTTGGAATTTATTCTATTATCGATTTCATATTTTGTAAAACTTTAACGAATTTTTGATTAACAAACTCAAGGATTTCAAAGCGAGCCATGGCAACGCTGTACAGAAAAAAACATTTTTATCTCCAGCGTGCGAGACTCTGTATCGGAAATTCCTAAGATATGTTCAATTTAAAACTATTTTGCGATATTGCTCTTGAACTGAATTTTATGGTTTATGGTTAAAAAAACGCCCCTTTGGACGTAATTTAAAATCTGAAACTTTTCAGTTCTTTTAAAAACTTTTATTTTATTTCATATTATTTTAAATGTTTAACTTCCCTCTCAGCGTTACGACCGGAAAATTCCGTACAGAAGGTTGCCTTCCACATTCATTATACATGAAAATTTCTGCTAGCTTTTAATGTATCTGATTTCAGTTTGGATGTATATTGGAAGAAAAGGAATCAAGGTACAAAATGAAAGAGTCATTTTTTAATTAAAATCAAGAACATATCACTTACTCATGATATTTTGAGAAACTTTGAAATTTCAGGGCTAAACCCGTAACGCTCAGAGAGTTAAAAATATAAAGGATAGTTTCAAAAAACTGAGAAAGAAATGGCTAAACAAAATGAAATCTTGTTTTTCCAGTACAAAAATGCACATCTTTAGAGTACATATTACTATATCGTATATTTTATTTACTAGTTTTTTTCAGTTCCGTTTTATTTCAGGAAATTTCCTCATATCGTTTCTGAAGATCATTTGTGCCTGATCGCTCTGAACGAAGACCGTAGCAAATTTGAATTGGATCAATTTCAATCGTAGTTCATGAGGAGTTTCATAACAGAACACGGGCAGAATTCGTTTCTCACTTAGTGAAAAACACAACATTACAACTGTCTTATTTTTAACTCCCAAAACCTCACAAGTATCAGGAATTCTTTCCAGTTGGAAGGCAAAACATCCTTTAAATCCTCCTGATCTTTATTTTCTTGCTCGACTTCACATTTTCCGTGTCCAAAAAAGACAGAAGCTGCTGCTAAGAACCGCGAAAAGCGTTTGTAAAGCTTCTATGAGAGCGGCAGGAAATGAAAAATCCAACCCGGATTCATGTTTACGATGACGTAATGAAAAACGGCTTGCTGTTGTGGGTATATTTTTCTGTTCCTCGGGACAAGGCGGTGAAAATTGAAGCTCCTGTTGCCAGGGTGTTTATTCACATAATTTATTTTCGTAGCTCTCCGTCTCCCCCTCCCATGTTTATCAAAATTTTCGAAAACTATTTTATCGGTACGTTTTTTAAGAATCTTCAGAACATTAAATGAATTTTAAAGCGAGTGTGAAGATCGAATTATGTTTCAGAATTTCTTTTTCTTTAAGTAATTTAAACATTCAGTGAAAACAAAAGCTTTTACACTTAACTAATCTCTTAAGGGGACTGATTCACCGTAAAACCCATAAGATCTTCGAATATGTGACTGTTGCAAGAATTGGGATAACTTATTTATTTTAAAAGCAATTACATCCAACTTTTTACAGCTGACTACATAATATAGCTGCTTTCTTAAATAGTAATCGGAAAGTTTGTGTTGCCACAAATATTTTTATAATTTAATCCGCTTTGTGACAACACTTTTTGTCCTGTTTCCACCTTGCGCGCACAGTTTAAAACATTCTGTTGCATAATTTAATTCCATATTTAATATATAAATTTCATAACATTTGGAAACTACTGTAAACCAAAAATTCTAAGAATTTCGTGTTAATTTTTTATTTTATTTTGGAGTTGAGTTTATAAAATGTATTTTATTAAAAAAATCTGTAATGTTTTCGTGCATAATTTTTTTTAATATTAAAATGTTCATCAGATTTTCGGTTCAGTTAGAAAATAGTGCCCATATAAAGAATTCTATCCAATTTCAAGCATGTACCAATAGCCATTTTTAAAATATCATGCGCGCAAGATGAAAACATGACGAAACGTTTTGTCACAAAGCAGATTAAATTATAAAAATATTTGTGGCAACACAAACTTTCTGGTTATTAGTTCCCAAAGCAGCTATATTGCGTAGTCAGCTGTAAAAGGTTGGAAATAATTACTTTTAAAATAAATAAAATATCGCAATTCTTGCAACAGTCACATATTCGAAGATCATAAGGGGTTTAAGGTGTATGAGCCCCCTTAACACATTGAACGCCATGTCAGACATCTGTGGGCGATACTAGATTTTCCGTTTAGGCCGCGTCGACAGCCGCTGGCTGACAGCGTGTAACATTATATATACCTATACAATTTACACTGTTTTATGGAATTACAGAAAAATTATTTAAAATTTACTTAATTTTGATTCATTACAGGACTAATGGATTTCATTGAAACACGGTAAGCATAAAAACCGTTCTCCATTACAGCTATTACAAATTGTGACAACTGTCTTAGTCTTTTCTGGCCATTACTCTACTATCTTCTGTTGCATTTTTATCATAACATAATTTACAATATTTCCGTACTTCAGAAGCTTTTTCCGTTTTTTTTTTTTTTTTTTTTTTTTTTTTTTTTTTTGAGTTTATGTTGTCGTTTTTTAAGATATTATTGCATTTCTGTTCGATGGAATATCTTCTTTTTCACAACTTGTAAGGGATAGCGCTAATTCTTTCCGGACTTCAGTAATGCTAATTTTCTGCTTCCTAATATCTTTGCATGGAATGTAACTATTTACAAAACAGACATGGAGCGTAACGTGTTGAATGAATGCCTATAGGAATCACGTTCCAAACGTAAACTATCTTCTACTGCGATAAGAATCGCTGGCCTTAGACTTAGACTCTATAATTGACCGAGCTATTGCGAAGAGCAATGTTGCCGGTTCCAGAATTAAAACCCAAAGGCACTTGACATAAAGAAATCCGGACGTGGAGAAAATCTCAGATGAGAAAATGGAGATAAGGGGAAGAAGAGAAGTACCAAAAGGAGCAAGACAATCCAATCGGACAAGTTCGCAAAACGTGACGAGCGATCATAGCTTTCAAGGAGGACCCAAGACAATGCAAATCAATGACAACAATATGAGAAGATACACTACAGCAATAGTTCCAATGACAAATTCAAATACAATTAAACAACCTCAATCAGTAGTGCTAAATACAACACAATACAAAACAACTATACAACACAATTTAAATACAACTATTCAACGCAATACACTACAGCAACTCAACCTACAATGCCAGCGCTTTTAAGCGGCGCGCGTGGCCTGAACGGGATTGCCTAAGAAATACGCTGGGCGCTCAACGTGTTAATTTAGGGATTTAATTTAACAATACTCTAAAATTTCCTTGTTGTTGTTCGTAACGTAACATCAGAATAAGCTGTTGAAATTAATCATGACAAGGAGAGCAAATGACCGCCTTTCATTGGCAACCGCCTTGAGCAGCATATAGGTGGCAGTGCGATTTTCTTCAGTTCACCCTACCCCCCCCCTCCCCAAATTCTGGTGGAGAGCACCCCAGCGAGCACGGGTCAGAATACGTCGCCAAAACATCCCTTTGGAATCAATTTTACTATCCGTTTTGGGAAAAAGGTCCTTTATGCTGTCCATACGTACAGATGTGATGCCAAAGTAAATCGTCCATATGGATATTTCCGTTGAAACATGACACCTGGCAATTTTCGCAATTACAATACTTCCTTTACTTCGTACAAGGAAGTAAAAATATTCTTTTCTTGCAATTAAAAAGTTGGGAAAGACATTGAGTTAAGGGGACTCATACACCTTAAACCCCTCATGAGCTTCGAATATGTGACTGTTGCAAGAATTGGGAGATTTTATTTATTTTAAAAGCAATTACTTCCAACTTTTTACAGCTCACTACATAATATAGCTGCTTTGGAAAATAGTAACCAGAAAGTTTGTGTTGCCACAAATATTTTTGTAATTTAATCCTCTTTGTGACAAAATACCGTCACGTTTCCACCTTGCGCGCACGATATTTTAAAAATGGCTAATGGTATACATACTTGAAATTTGATGGAATTCTTTATATGAGCCCTATTTTTTTAACTGAACCAAAAATCTGTTGAATATTTTATTATTAAAAAATTTTATGAATGAAAACATTACAGAATATTTTAATAAAATACATTTTATAAACTCGTCTCCAAATAAAATAAAAATTTAACTTGAAATTCTTAGAATTTTTGGTTCACGGTAGTTTCCAAATGTTATAAAAGCTATATATTAAATATGGAATTAAATTATGCAACAGAATGTTTTAAACTGTGCGCGGAAGGTTTAAACATGACGAAAATTTTTGTCAAAAAGCGGATTAAATAATAAAAATATTTGTGGCAACACAAACTTTCTGATCACTATTTCAGAAAGCAGCTATATTATGTAGTCAGCTGTAAAAAGTTGGTAGTAATTGCTTTTAAAATAAATAAGTTATCCCAATTCTTGCAATAGTCACCTATTCGAACATCCTATGGGTTTTAAGGTGTATAAGTCCCCCTTTAAGAGTGAGAGTTTTCTCACGCTATTTTTTCGAAGAGACTTACCCCCGTTCAAAAGTATGGATGGCATACCCTGGTACATAGCAGCTGCAGGTAGTGTGAGGCAGGAAGAATTCCGGTTGTGGTGACACATGACACTTTCCTTGGTATTTTTCTCTGGCTTGAAAAGGGCAATGTACACCTTGGGCATGAACAGACAGGCCAGCTGTACTGCACCGCTGAGGCTGAGGAGTGAGCTGAGGGTTACTGCCCGGATTGTATTGCTGGTGCTGAGTACGAAGAGAGGCAAAAAAGCAAGCCAGATGACGCAAGTAGTGTAGTTGGTAAAAGTCAGATATCTATTAAAAAAAGAAGAAAAAAGATGATAAATATCCGTACTGCTTGCATATTGTTATTCATGAAAGCTGAATTTATCAGTTAGGAATTCATCACATAACGAAACTTCAAGACTTTAAATATCAAAACTTCAAATGCGTTAACTGAAATTACATAAATGCTGTGCTAAGTGAGTTAAATCAGAGCATTAATTTACCCACCGCAAGATACGCTATAGGATGTTGCCTATCTTGTGCAACCCAGGTGGCATCTTATTGCCTTCATTATAATATATCGGATCAATTGCCACAAATTTCAGCTGTTTTCAGATTTATAAAAGGGAAAATAACAGGGAACACATGATAGGGGAATTCACAGAAAAAAAAAAAAAAAAAGTTTGAAATGTTTCAGATTTTAAATTACGTCCAAAGGGGCGTTTTTTAACATTTTGTGTGTTACCTTTCTTTATTAAATATCATGTTCCTCGCACTTAACCACAAAATCCAGTTCAACAGCAATATCGCGAAATAATTTTAAAATGAGCGTATCTTTAGAATTTCCGATACACAGCCTCGCGCGCTGCAGATAAAAGGGTTGTTTTTTCGCTCCGTAGAGTGTTGCCATTGCTCGCTTTGAAATCGTATCTTCAGAATTTCCGATACACAGCCTCGCGGGCTGCAGATAAAAGGATTTCCTCCCCGTAGAGTGTTGCCATTGCTCGCTTTGAAATCGTAGAATTTGTTAACCACCTGCGCTAAAAAGACGTGCCACGCACGTCGAGATGCTTTTGTGTCAATACGTTATGATACGTTATGATACTAGTGATTCAATTACAATACGTTATGATACTAGTGATTCAATTATAATACATTTAAAAATTAATTTTTCAGCTGTGCATTATATATTACGATACTGATTTATACAATTCATACATTACCAATTATACATTACAATACTAACTATGCAGTACACATATAGACTTTACAGAGTATGTTATGATACTAGTGATTCAATTACAATACGTTATGATACTAGTGATTCAATTATAATACATTTAAAAATTAATTTTTCAGCTGTGCATTAAATATTACGATACTGATTTATACAATTCATACATTACCAATTATACATTACAATACTAACTATGCAGTACACATATAGACTTTACAGAGTATGTTATGATACTAGTGATTCAATTACAATACGTTATGATACTAGTGATTCAATTATAATACATTTAAAAATTAATTTTTCAGCTGTGCATTATATATTACGATACTGATTTATACAATTCATACATTACCAATTATACATCACAATACTAACTATGCAGTACACATATAGACTTTACAGTGTATGTAACGATGAATAATAGAAACATTACCAATTATACAATTATTATACATCACAATACTAATTATGCAGTGCACCCATTATGCAACACTGCACCATTGTATCGCTGATAGTGCACGTAGTACTCCTGAAAGTGCACACGCAAGTGCAGCTCACTACAACCGCGCGCAAAATTGAAATAACGTAGTGCACACGTCGCCTAACAACGAGATTGTTTAGTTTTCGAGTTACAGCTCTGGATTGCAGTCGCAGACGCGGGCCCACCAGCGACCGAGCGGTAAAATTGCTGAACACTGGTAGTTCTGTCCGAGGTTCGAATTCCGCGAACGGGCTGGCTGCATGGGCGTTTTCGTGGTTTTCCCCATGTGTAACGCGTATACGAACCAGTTTCCTTAGAAAGTCCTACACGAAGGCATCCCACCCCTTAGGCAGATGGCCCTCGAGGCTTTGCCATAATCACACACACACACACATGCACTCGCAAACAAATATATTTACAAAATATGAAATAGATAATAAAACAAATTTCAAATTCAATATAGGGCTTCCACATGCCCATATTCTATGGAAGATTACGTTATTCAAATTTTGATGGCTTTAGGTACCGTTGTTTTATTATCACAATGCGAGAAACATACATACATTCATGCAGATTTTTCATTATTTAATTTCTTTAAATATAATACAAGGCGATAATATTTGATGGCAATAATCTAAAAAGTGAGTTTCGACACTAATAGCTCTTCTGGGTTAAACGCTGTTTTGGGCTAATAAAACTGAGATTAAATTTAGAGACATTTTATATCACACAAAATTTGTTTGTTGTTATCTTCTGTTAGAGACTATGAAACAATTTATTAATACTACTTTATAAGGATTCGTTAACGGTTCTAACTAGTTATTTTATTGTTAGTGTACTTTACTGTCTTTCTCGTTTTCCATTTTCCTGTCCGAATGTAAATTTCTAGTTCGTGTGTATTCAAATGAGATAGAAAGGAGACAGTATTTAAAGGAAGGATTTAGAAGGTAGAATCAGAGCGTGCTCCTCCTGCTGAATTCCACGTTGATAATTGATTCTCTTGAAACCAGTATTCTGCAGCGTTGCATTATTCTCGCCATTTGGCTACTCGCGCCGACCTTTAGGCCAGAGCCTACTTGCGCGTTATTTAATTGTGCAGCCGTTAGGATAACTCAGTTAAATTCCTTATCTTTGATATTTAAGCCATAACTGTTGATTATATTTTGTGACTGTGTGAGAATTACAAGACAAAGTTATAATTCACATCTAAGTCCAACAGCAATATCGCAAAATAATTTTAAAAATGAGCATATCTTTAGAATATCCGATGCTAAGTCTCGGGCGCTGGAGATGAAAGTTCCCCTCCCCCCCGTACGGTGCTGCCATGGCTCGCTTTGAATCGTTGAGTTTGTTAATAAAAAATTCGTTAAAGTTTTACAAAATACGAAATAGGAAATAAAACAAATTCCACATTTCAGCTTTCAGATTCCCATACTCGGGTGGAAACGTACGTTATTCAAAATTTGATGGCTATAGGTACCGCCGTTTTAAAATTTGATGGTACCGTCAAAATTTGATGGCTATAGGTACTGTCAAATTTTGATTTTTCAAAATTTGATGGCTATAGGTACCGTCGTTTTAAAATTTGATGGTACCGTCAAAATTTGATGGCTAAAGGTACTGTCAAATTTGGATTTTTCAAAATTTGATGGCTATAGATACCGTCGTTTTAAAATTTGATGGTATCGTCAAAATTTGATAGCTATAGGTACTGTCAAATTTTGATTTTTCAAAATTTGATGGCTATAGGTACCGTCGTTTTAAAATTTGATGGTATCGTCAAAATTTGATGGATATATAGGTACTGTCAAATTTTGATTTTTCAAAATTTGATGGCCATAGCTACCATCGTTTTAAAATTTGATGGTACCGTCAAAATTTGATGGTTATAGGTACTGTCAAATTCTGACTTTTCAAAATTTGATGGTATCGTCAAAATTTGATGGCTATAGGTACCGTCGTTTTAAAATTTGATGGTATCGTCAAAATTTGACGGCTATAGGTACTTTCAAATTTTGATTCTTCAAAATTTGATGGCTATAGGTACTGTTAAGTTTTGACTTTTCAAAATTTGATGGCTATAGGTACCGTCGTTTTAAAATTTGATGGTATCGTCAAAATTTGATGCCTATAGGTACTGTGAAATTTTGATTTTTCAAAATTTGATGGCTATAGGTACCGTCGTTTTAAAATTTGATGGTACCGTCAAAATTTGATGGCTATAGGTACTTTCAAATTTTGATTTTTCAAAATTTGATGGCTATAGGTACTTTTAAATTTTGATTTTTCAAAATTTGATGGCTATAGGTACCGTCCGTTTAAAATTTGATGGTATCGTCAAAATTTGATGGCTATAGGTACTGTCAAATTTTGATTTTTCAAAATTTGATGGCTCTAGGTACCGTCGTTTTAAAATTTGATGGTACCGTCAAAATTTGATGGCTATAGGTACCGTCGTTTTATTACAATGCGAGAAACATTCATACATTGATGCAGATTCTTCATTATGAAATTTCTGTAAATATAATACAGGGCTGTAATATTTGGTGGCAACAATTTGAAAAGTGATTTAAAGTTTTCAACACAAAATACCAAACCGAAATTAATGGCCCTTCTGGGCTAACCCTCTTTTGGCTAAAAACGGACTAAACATCGTAACAGTATTACTCTTTGTATAAAAAGAATTTTTCCCTTACCTTATTCTACAAGTACAGTCAATTATTTCCAATTTGTTGTCAGATATAAGTGAGATATGTACATGAGTGTTCGTGATACAAGAAATACCTCGCATAGTGCGGCTTCACTCAGTGCTGAGCCCACTATAGTACGGTAAGTGATCTGAGTAATAAATGTAACTCAGTACTGATTGATTCACTGCTACAGTTCGGAAAGATTTTGTACCAAAATAATACAGTCTAAATGTTCCCGCTAAAATACATACAGTGTACTCTGGAGTATTCGGTTAATGTCGGGGAAGCAGGTGGGGGATAACTGAAAAACACGCATAATCCAAACTATCAATTTTCAAATCTATTGTATGTGTATTTCTTAAAAAAAATCATTAATCTATGTTTTTGAGATCATTTAAATATTTGTTGAATTTTATTGTGAGTTTTTCGAAGTGCTATTTTATCACTGTATTCTTTGGCGAAGATGTCCACCTGAGTTTGAACAGCAATCGGAATTAATGTAATTGTCAGTTATCTACTTCCTCTCTTGTGTTTTCAGTATCATTCTCTGACTTTTCTTTTTATGTAACATTTGAAATGCTAATCGTAATATGTTCTTCATTCATTTTAGCCTTTGGCTGATTTACATTTACTTAGTCAAATTCGTTGCTTTTGTTTCAAGCTATAAATGCCGGCTGTTCTGTAAGAACCAGCAGTGCCATCTGTTAACATTTATTTGAGTTAAGTGTAAGGGTCTTTTACACCCTTTCTCAGTCTCTGTGGTACTTTACAAGGTGCAGTGATAATTCAGGGAGAGTTTTTGTCTGTACTACCAAAGAAGACAGGACTTCACATCTTTAAAAAACTGTACAAATGCAATGAAAAATATCCTTTTTACATCTAAATAAACTGCATTTAGCCGTCTATGTGTTGTGTTCGTATAGTCATTTAATTTCAGACTTTGCATTCGGAATTACAGCAATGAATTAATCGATAAAACTATTAAATGTCAATACTTCTCGGTTTCTGCCAGCACATCTCGGTTTTATTCGATGTAGTAAAACCCAGATTATTTACTACGTGTAGAAATCTGTAAATAAATTTATTCGATGTAGTAGAACCGAGATTATTTGTTAAGTGTAGAAATTTGTTTCCGAGGGCAGTTTGTTAGCTGGATGTATCAAATATTTACATTAACAGCACGCATAGGAAAATGCTAACCTACAGTTTTCCACACTTAAAGGGTGACAGGTGAGAGGCCCGAAACCCAGTCGAACAAATGCACTTGATGGCCAGCCCAACACAGTTTGGTTCGAGCACTAGTATAGAAACTATTAGGTTTTTTTCGCGGTGATAGAAAATGGAAAAATGAATTGCGCTTTTGCCAGAATACGAAACACGGATCTTCCAGTCCGCTAGATATACGAGGCGCGACACAAAACAAACGAGACTGCGTAGTTTGAAAAAAAAGAGTGCAGTTGGCAACAGCTGTTTAGGTGATGTCATTCCCCACACCTCCTCTATCCATGCTGTCAGTTTCGACTTAAAATCGATCGCACCAGTTGGGAGCACTGCGTCATTGAGGGAACATGTGCAGACACTTTTGCCTAATGTACTAAAAACCGAACAGAGAATCAATATAAAGTTTCTTGTGAAACTTAAGAAATCAGCCAGGGAAACATTTCAAATGTTAACTGAGGCTTATGGAGATGAAACTTTGTCTCGTGCACGTGTGTTTGAATGGCATAAGCGGTTTCAGGGAAAAGGGACAAAACACGCATGTCAAAATCAAAATTCAAGGCGATGTTAATTGTCTTCTTCCTTGACATTAATGGATGGGTTCCCAGTGGTCAGACTGGGATTAATGGATGGGTTCCCAGTGGTCCCAGTAATGATTGGGTTCCCAGTGGTCAGACTGTTAATCAACACTACTATACTGAAGTATTGAAATGACTTCATGAAAAAAACTAGGAAAAGAAAGGCACAGTTTGGAAGTGATGGATGGCTGTTGCACCAGGACAATGCACACGCTTACACAGCCCTACCTGTCAAACAGTTTCTGACCATCAAAAACATTACTGTGATGGGGCATCCACCTTATTTACCTCATTTGGCTCCATAGGACTTTTGTTTTCCATTTACTAAAGTTAAATATTACTTAAAGGAAAGCCATTTTACCTCAGTTGAAGAGGTTCAGGCAAAACAGGAGAATCACCTGAAGGACCTTCCGAAAACCTCGTTCCAGAACTGTTACCAACAATGGCAACACCGAATGCAGAAAAGTGTGAATGCTGAAAGGGACTACTTTGAAGGTGATAATGTCACGGACAACTAATTATTTACGTACAATGACTTATTGGACCGGTCTCATTTTTTTTTGTGTCACACTTCGTATGGCTTTATAGCTTCCATTTGCGGAGAATGCAGTAATTACTTTATACTATCTCACTTTAAGACTTTTTAAAGATTTGTGTCTTACTTCTTTTATTTATGTCGTGTTGCCTCTGTTTCTAAAATAAAACCATTTGCACATAGTAAAGTGCTTCTTTTAAAGTACTATACAGCATTAAAATAAAAAAATAATTAAAAAAAATTGCTGATGCATACCTAGCTTCGTTAAACCCATCCGGACACTTCCTCGTCTTGAAAGCGTATACTGTGCAAAATCCGATTAGTATAAAAGGATAGATGAGACCTACGAGATAAGATGCGGTGTCAGACCCCAGACATATGAGAACATTCTCTTCCCGGGTTGGATACATGTGGGTGACTGCCGGACGGTCGTACAGGAGCCAAGTAGTATTGATGATGCCTTGAAAGGATAATTACGAAATAAATTTCTTCTTAAAATTAATGAGGATCAAAGTAAATGTGTATTATTTTCATCAGATAAACTAATCAATTTATCTTATGAAATCAATTTAGTTTTTATCTTATGAAATTTTATCACTTTATCTTATGAAATCAATTTAGTTTTTATCTTATGAAATTTTATCAATTTATCTTATGAAATCAACTTAGTTTTTATCTTATGAAATTTTATCAATTTATCTTATGAAATCAATTTAGTTTTTATCTTATGAAATTTTATCAATTTATCTTATGAAATCAATTTAGAAACTAATCAATTTAGTTTTCTGGTACGGCCAGATAAAAAAGAAGGGGGAGTGGCCAGTTTTATATTTTTCATTCTACTGGGCTGATTGACGAAATTGAGCTTGTGTTTCTCATGTTTCAAAAGCGGGACTTCAGATATATATTACATTTATAAATAGCATTAACATATGTATTTTGATACAAAATCGCACTTTTCCTGAAATAAAATGCCAAATTTTTCCACGTATCGACTCGAGGGCTCAAATTATGGCTAAATACCGAATTAAAAAAAAATTCGGAGCGAAACATAAGCAGAAATTTCAAAAATTTATCTTGGCATATTTTTTCAGTTTGAGACAAGAATAATTGGTAACCTTCTCCTTTCATTGTGTAACAGAAGAAAAAAAAAGGTGAACTATTTATTCTTTCTAACAGTTTGCTTTGCATTATCTTTTTAATCATAGCTGTTATTTTTAGATATTTAGACATTTTCATTCCCATAGACGATTAAATCGAAAAACTTTTTAAATTCATTGTATTTCTTTCGTTTATTCAATTGAGCGATGAATTTTTGGAAAGAGAAAATTTCAATTTATCATTTTATAATTACCTTCGACAGAGACCAAGAGAGCAGTGATGATGAGTTGAGACTTGGGGCTGGTGTACCGTGGCTTCTGGCAGGGCTTCTTCCGCTTTTGATTGAATATTCGAGCTATTCTATTAGTCTTTGTAACGATAGCTGCGTAACATAGAGTGTAGCAGAACCCCAAGAAAAAACGCGTGATGCCACAAGTGCAAGGTGCCGGTTTTGCGACGATGACAAACGTCATACCGAAGGACAGGAAGATTCCTGGAGAGAAAAGTAAATTGATGACTTTTTTGCAACTCTTAAAGAATGATTAATGATATAACATGCATTTATAACTCTTTCACAACCAACCCGCCCCACACGGCCCTACATTCAAACAACCAGAACCGCCCGAACACGGCTGAGATTGTAATCTTGTTTTCTTCCCTCCTCCTAAAGTATGCAGTAGCAGGTGAAGTTTTTCCAAATGCATTGTATCGGTTTACTGCAGACAGCTTGTCCTAAGAGGTTTCTTATCTTTTGGTTGCTCCTGACATTTCGTTGTTGATTCTTTTGTGGGTACAGTGTGCTTTTAAGCTTTAAAAGAAATAAAAGTGCATTTTAAAAATTTAAGGTTTATAATAGGGGGACGGGAAAGTAATGTCGCTTTCTTACATTAAATTCACACGAATAAATTTTTAAACACGTTTTAATTTTTTAATCAATCAATAATGTAATCACCCTCGTTATCATGAACCTTTTGCCATCTAGTGTGCAGATTTTCAATCCACGGACCGATATAAATCAACTGGTTTTTGAGTAAAAATCTCGAGATGGCATTTTGGACGTCATTCAAATTTTCAAATTTTTTGGCACTAAGAAAATGTTGTAGGGATCGGAATAAATAAATGACAATCCGAGTGTACGATATCGGGCGAGTATGGTGGGTGATGCAGCACCTCCCATTGCAATTCATTCATTTTTTCCAGTGTCCGTCTTGCACAATGCGGTCTTGCATTGTCGTGCTGCAGAATGATGCTTTTTCTGTTGACAATCGCCGGATATTTTTCGATTAAAGATTAGTTCAGTCGATCCAATTGTTCACAATAAAGATTTGCATTAACAGTTTGTCCAGGTTTCAGCAATTCAAAATGAACAATTTCGCGAATACTCCACCAAACACACAGAAGCGCCTTTTTGGGATGTAAACCCTTTGTAAGCCCTATTAAAACTGCCTTTTGAGTTTTGGATTATCATATAGGACTTATTTTATCGTCTCCACTAATCCAAACGATCAAAAAACGGTTCTGTATGGTGCCGTCGAAGCAATACGTTGCATGTGATGGATCGGTTGGCTTTGTTCTCTTCGGACAGATTATGGGGGACTCAAACACCTGCTTTACTTATTTTTCCATTCTGCTTTAAATGTTCTTGGATGGTCGACTAAGGTTGGTTAAGAGTGTTTGACATGGATTTGCTTCCACTTCTGCCCTTAGCATGTTGTTGTCGACATGCGCAGAAACGACATTACTTTCCGGACTCCCTATTATTTATTTTTAATCAATTTATTCCTTCCTATAAAAATAACGGAAATAAACAAAATCTCAGTTGTGATCGTAACAAAGTCAGAAAGGCTTGTTGGTCTGACTTTCAGAATAATTTTATAAAGAACGGGGTCAAAGGCTAATGGAATCTTTGTTAGAAAGTACAAAGGATGTCATTCGGAAGCTTTACACCTATTTTCTGCGTTAATGGACGGGCAGGGAAGGAAATTGCTGTAAAACTGGAAAAGTATTTCGGGCAGTTCGGTATTTTGAGGATACAGGTTAGCGAAGGGTTGGATTTCAAAGAGATAATCAATTATGTATACATCATATCCAATCTTTTTATTAAAACAGAACTTGAACATAAAGGTAGGACGTCTTGTGCTTACAAAATCAGCTACCACTTGCGTAATTTAAAGTAACAATCAATTTCAAAAGTTAATTTGAGCCTAGTAGACAAAGACTAACAATTGATTTAAATCGAAGTTGGCTCACAACTTCTCACCGGCATAACAATTAAATGTCTGCAGCAATAACGCGAAGTCGAACAATTACTAGCTTGCCAGAACTGGCGCAACTGAGTAACGTGACCACGAGAGGCGAAAACACGTTCTGTCTTACAGTCCAAAACCCTCCACTTAAATACTCTCTAACTGATTTACATATCTGGGGAGGAAACGGAAAATGAGAAGTTATAGTAAAGGTTTAAATCACAACTGCATAAGTAAACTACTGATGTAACCTCACAAGTACATATATCAATCCAAAGTATGATGTGGTGTCTTTAGAGTATTCTGAAAGAGTGTTTCCTGGTGCAAATTACTTTGAGACAGAAATTATAATTTTTGCTCAAGTACAGGAGTTGAACAAAAATATGGAAACACCTCGTAAAGTAAATGTTTGAGCTGAAATGTTTATTCTTGCAAAATCTATTGGTGCCGCTGATGTGTTTGCTTACTAATGCGACCTGTGCCAAATCCTCAATACGTTGCAAATGTCATTCGTTATCGAGAGTGTTCTGTGCAGTTGTGAGTGCATCATGTCGAAGCTAAATGAATGTGAATGTGGGGAAATTGTTGAGGCTCATATGGTGGGTTCTTCCGTAACCAAGGTACCTGAAGTGTTTGGTGTTTCAAGAAGAATAGTATTTAAAATTTTTAACTCATACAGAAAAAACCGCATCCGCTAAATCATAGCGTGGACGAAAATGTGCGTTGGGTGATCATGACTGACGATTACTGAAGAGGACTGCGATGAAAAATAAGAGGACTACAGCCGCAAACGTGACTGTTGAACTGAATGCCGCACTCACAAACCCTGTCAGCACCAAAACCATGCAAAGGGAGCTTCACAAGCAGAGTACTTTTGGGCGTTGAGTAGTTCAAAAACCCCTCATCGGTGATCAAAGTGCCTGTAAGAGGAGAAAGTGGTGCCAGAGTCATAACATCTGAACTGTAGAGCAGCGGAAGATTGCCATTTAGCCGGATGAGTTTTGTTTCAAACTGTTTTCCACTTCTAGGCGAGTTTATGTCTGGCGAAAGCAAAGCGCAGGATGCAGACAGCTTGCTGCCGAGAAACATGGTGGGGGTCTCGGTCATTGTTTGCGCAGCCGTATCTTGGTACCACATGGGACCCATCGCTACTGTGCAAGGTCACATTACTGCTAAGAATTATGTGACCATTTTTGCTAATCACGTGCTTCTCATGGTGCAGATTTTGTTCCTCAATGGTGATGCAGTATTCCAAGACGACAGAGCTTCTGTTCACTTAGCTCACTTTATTCAGAACTAGATTTCTGAGCATGCGTGTGCACTTTCACATCTACCATGTCCATCACAGTCACCAGATATCAATATTAATGAGCCTTTGTAGGCTATTTTGGAAAGAAATCTGCGTGAATGCTATCCACCGCCATCATCGTTTACTGAACTTGCCAGCGTCTTAAAGGAAGAATGGTACAAGATTATCTTGCAAAGCATATAAGACCTCTGTTTATCCCTTCCAAGAAGGCTGCAAGTTGGCTTGAATGCCAAAGGATTTTCTATACCGTATTTAGTCACACCAATATGTTTTTATATCGGTGTTTCCATATTTTTGTCCAACCTGATTCTTGTGCAGTTTTTGAAATCAATTTCTTAAGCGGCTCGCATAAAAGTTTTCATGAGAAGAAAATAAGCGTTTAGTGGCATTATATTGAGAAAATGATACAGCGTTAGGATTAGGTTGAAATTATTTCGGAAAAGTCTGTCTGTCATTTACCTTATTTTTATAATATTCAAATTCGTCACAATTTCCTTTTAAGCTTCCTATATTGCAAAGTAAAGAAGCTTGCGCAGAGATAGGACGCAACAAATTTACAAACTGAGTTTAAGTTCTTACCCAAAAGCAAAAGTCCGCTGAGCTCTCTGCCGGATGCCTTGATGATAGGTGTATCTCCATAAGCCCAGAACACGATGGCCACCACTGTGGTGGTCATGATTCCTAATCCTGCAAAAGCCATAGTCCCGATGGCCCATGGGCTGCTGTAGCTGAGATAGGCTTCTGGAATTGGCTCGCAAGTGGTTTTAGTGGCGCTAGGTAACGTGCCGAAGGGACAATCCCTGCAGTGGTATTCGTCTGGTAGATACTGGAAGGTGGAACAATTGGTGCACAACCAGCAGCATGTGTCGCCTTCTAGCTGCAGTTTAGCTTGACCACGTTGACATGGGGCACTGCAGAAAGACCTTGGAAAGGCAGTATCATCATGCTTGAATCGCATGGCGTTCATATCCAAATCCAGAAACGGGACGCCTTTATCATCACTGACTGGAAAATGTTAAAATATCCTCTTTAGTTTCACTATTTAAGAACTTAAAGATCATTCAAGATGATTAATGTTATTTTAAGAATAAAACGGTAGAAAAAACCGTGAAGTGCTGGCGCTTACATGATACGAAGTTTAGAAATGGTATTAGAAATCAAATGGTCACGAATTTCATTCACGTAAACTGAAGCATCGAGCCAACATTTTAGACTTACCACTATTTATGAAATGTCTGTGGAAAGTTCTTTTTATATGCATTGTAAATCCCCATGATTAAGCACTAAATACTTGAAAGCATCCACAAAATTTATGTCGTTTAGAGTATCGATCGAAAACTTATTAAAAGCCTAACTAACAGTAACGAGAAAATAACTACATTAACGAGAAATTTAGCTCTTTGAAGACCAAAACGCCCCAGACGCCCCTTTATCCAAACGACCACAACCGCCCGAAACGGCCGAAATTGTGATGTTCTTTTCTTCCCTTTCCCTAAGGTATGCAGTGGCAGGTGCAGTTTCATCAAATGCACTGTGTCAATTTATTGCTGACAGCTTGTCCTAAAAGTATTTATTTCCGGTTTCTTAGCTTTATTTGTTACGAAGTAGGAAGGATGTCATTTTAAATCTTCGCACCTCTTTATGCGTTGTAGGGAAGGAAACTGTTGTGAATTCTGGAAAGGCATTTCGGCCGCTTCAGTATTTCAAGGTTATACAGGTTAGCGAAGACTTCGGTTTCCAAAGAGCGTCTGGATAAAATGTAACAATAAATCTGCGACTGAATTGCGGTTTCTAGTTGATAAAGTAATGAAACATGCAAGATATTTTGAATCTTTAAATTTAAATAAATCTAACACTAATATTATAAAAAATATGCATATAAAGATTGACAAAGCGTCAAGAAAGCTTTTCGAAATATCTTAAAGACTTCAGATCGATCCAAAACTTATTAAAAGCCTAACAGTAACGAGAAATTAACTAACATTAACGAGAAATGTAGCTTTTTGAAGACCAAAATGCCCGAGACGCCCCTTTATCCAAACGCTCAGAACCGCCCGAAACGGCCGAAATTGTGATGTTCTTTTCTTCCCTTCCCCTAAGGTATGCAGTAGCAGGTGCAGTTTTATCAAATGCAATTGATTTCCTTAAAAACCTGAATCCATTCTTAGAAAATTTGCAAAGGTACTCAGCTCAAATCTGTAAATAAAACTGGAAGCCTTTTTATAGACTCAATTATTAAATTGCCAGCCTGTATTATTAGTAAATAATACATATTTTAATTTGTAATAATACGTATTTGTAAATAATACGTATGCGTATATTCTGCTTATAAATGTCATGAATTTTTAAAATGTAGAGTTAAACAGCGATTTTTATCAGGTAAAAAAATAATTCTGTATGCCTAAAGACTTTTTCGTCTACGCTTAGTATAAATGGATGTATGTCAAAGTATAATAGCGAGTTTTGTGGTAAGGCATATAATTCTTTCTCTTACACTGATCTTGGAAAGCGGAACGAAATCAAAGCCAAAGAAAGTCTTGAAGTCATGTAGTTCCCTGTTGAATAAAGGAAAAAGTAACCCTGAAATTAATGCATCGGACAGTTCGAATCTACTTGAACTCATGCGTGCCAGTGCTAATTAATTGTTTTTAGAAAACTCAAACTGTTTTGGAGATTGCTGTAATTTATGTGCTGTTATTTATATCAAACTAAAAATAAACAAACTGGGAAAGTGGGATGGGGCGGTGGGATGAAAATGGCATGGTGAACAAAGTGGGACAAACTTAAAAATAAATAATGATATCCATATTCTGTTTCTTTTATTTGTCAAATTGCATTCGCACAAAAAAAAAAAAAAAAAAAAAAAAAAAAACCCGAAATGTTTCAGATTTTAAATTACGTCCAAAGGGGCGTTTTTTAACATTTTGTGTGTTACCTTTCTTTATTAAAATATCATGTTCCTCGCACTTAAACATAAGATCCAGTGCAAACAGCAATATCGCAAACTAGTTTTTAAAACGAGCATATCTTTAGAATTTCCGATACAGAGACTCACGCGCTGGAGATAAAAATGTTTTTTCTGCACAACGTTGCCATTGCTCGCTTTGAAATCCTTGAGTTGTTAATCAAAAATTCGTCAAAGTTTTAAAAAAATAGGAAAGCGATCATAAAACAAATTTCAAATTTCAAATTTGGTCTTCCACATGCTCATATTCGTTGGAGGATTACGTTATTCAAAATTCGATGACTCTATGTACCCGTTGTTTTATCACAATACGAGAAATATACATACATTTATGCAGATTTTCATTATTTAATTTCTTCAAAATATAATGCAGGACTCTAACATTTTTGTGGTTTGCAAACAGTTTGAAAAGTGTGACGACATTTATGAGTCCGACGCAAAATGCCAAAACGAAACTAATAGTCCTTCGGGACTCAAGTCCCTTTGGACTAAAAAAAACAAAAAAATACGTTTTACGTAAACTGTTTCGAAATTTGCTTTTCTCTCTTGTGGCTGCACAGTGCTGAAATTGCGTAAAGTTCAACCCTATATAGTCCCCCTGTAGAAGCCAAGAAGATGTCTCTTATATCTGTCTGTGCGTGTGAGAATACTTTCTGTCCTCCCGACGTCCTAGTTATCGAGGTGGCCAGTAGCCATAATTCTCTTCAGCATGGTATGGTGATCTGATATATTGAATCTTGGCGTGAAAAGGATCTGTCGAAGATTCCAACGGAAATCGGAATCTAGCTGTATGTTCCAGACAGCATTTATATAAAGTATCGTATTGCTACGAAATGTACAGGTACCGTAAGATAGCTTCCTCGCAAAGCAGGCTTAGGGTTGCCATAAAATGGCAAGGAAGGCAGAATTGCCACATTTGGCGAGAAATCGCCCATTCGGCTACAAAATCGGCGATATGCCATGGACGGATTGAGAACCTTCTGGAACAAATTCTTACCGGTTTAGCCCAGAATGTTCTCGAACACAAGCCGAAAGCTATATAAACCCTGCTGCGAGATAGTTGGTGTCTCGTTTAGCGAGTCAGTCCGTGCGGAGTCGATCGATTTGACAGCCGGGCAGTGAGTGACGAGTGGGTCGTCGAATGCATCGAAAGAGTTTATCGCGGTTAGTGCATCGTCGAAAGAGAGTGTTGAGCTGCGGGAACGACTGAACCGAAGAGTCCGGAGTTGAGCTCTGTGTGTCGTAGAGTACTTCGCGAGTTGTAGCGTGGAGAGTCTCGAGAGAACGTGGAGGTCCGAGAACGACCCGCGCAGAGTCGGGAGTTGTACTCTGTTGCTTTGCAGTGAAGCTGTCTCCACCGTTATAGCCTGATAGCTTGAAGGCTGTGTCGCTGATTGTCCCAGGGAGTGTATAGTAGATTTTCGACGGTTGTAAAACGTGACTTTGGAGCTGTCCTGATTAATATTTGCCAATAAAGTGTGTTTCGATATTACGTCAAGTGCTGCCATCGTTATTCACTCCAAATCGGCACGAACCCGTAACGAACGTACAGAAGGAAGAAAATAACGTAACAACTGGTGTCAGAAAAAAAAAAAAAAACGCAACAGTGTTGAACTGTTGCAGTCAAGTGTCTGTCCACATACCAATTAAGTTAATCATCGTTACCATCCTCCTTCCCATTCTTTTATTTTGCCTCATGGGTGACATATCTTAGCCACAGGTTCCGTTACGCTTAAGGAAAGCACCCATTAAAGTTCGTTAACTTGTAGAGTCTCACCTTCTTTGGTAACATAAAATAGTGAACCTTAGAAAGACTGAAGAGGAATAATCCTCTTGTCTTAAAATACAAACAGACAGAAGAAGGGTGCAAATATTCCTTTTATTCAAACACAAGAATTAACAAAGATCCAACTTGGGTTTACACAAGATTTTACAAGCCAAGTACTTCTGTCTTGACAGAAATACGTAACGTTGAACAAATTCAAATGTGGTAGAGATTACATACAGCTCAAAGAATAACAGCTCACAGAATCATTTAATGCACAAGAAAGGCTCTGGTTAGTATTTGGAGGCAGATCATCCATGTATGTCCAGCTTACGCAAGTGATTCGTGTTCCAGATACTTCGAGATTTTACTTCGTTTTTGAAAAATTTAACATACGAGTAATTATTTCTGTTATAATTTTTAATTTAACTTATTAGGCGATAAAATCTTCTCTGACGCGCAAGCACAAGTATCGCCAGCCCGATTAGGTACTATGAACAAAAAATATTTTAAAAATAAGCATTCATTTATATTTCTTAATTGTTAAAATATGGTAAATATTTATAGTCATAAGAGATATCTTGCGAGACTTTATAAAATAATTGACTGCTGACTGATGAACTTGGTGGCGAATATGGAATATTATTGCTTCATTCCGATGTTAGATGGCTTAGCAGGGGAAAAGTACTTCAACGATTTGTAGAACTTCTTTCGCTAATAAAGCAGGTTTTGGAATCCGGAAACGAAATTATAAAGAATTAAGCGATAATAACTGGTTATCTGATCTGTATTTTCTCACGGATATAACAGCTAAACTGAACAAACTGAACGAAGATCTCCAGGGAAAAGAAAAAAACCAATTTTCAATTGACTGGAACTGTAACTGCTTTTCAGATAAAGTTAAATTTGTGGATAAATCATATGAAAGAAAAGCATTTCACCCATTTTTTAGAATTTATCAAGCCATATTAATAACTAAAAGGCGATTGAAGCAGAGAAATACTCGGAAAACCTAAATGCACTGAAAAATAATTTTTAACTCCGCTTCTCTGATTTCTATAAAGTTCAACCAATATTTTTATTCATCTCAAACCCATTTGTCGAAATTAATATTTCAGATGTATCACATAAGACTGGAAATATGTCTAACAAAAATGTTGATGTTTTGGAAATGTGCTCGAGATAGGTCAAAGGTTGGGCACCACCGAGTTAATAGAAAGAATATTAACTGTAATGTTTGCTTTTGTGCATACAAGCTATGTGTGCAGGAAA